TACGCACATGAAATACTTAGAACGTTTCGAGTCTCATCCACTCATTCTAAATCATTGCCGAAATAAATTTCAAGAATTAAAATAGAAATCCTCCCCAGTGGAGTCGCCAAAAACTGTAGGGAATATTTCAAGCATTACCCCTAGCTTGAACCCCACTGTGATCATACACTAAAGTACGGTGGCGTCCAAGGGGAAGGAAGCTAGAGCAAAAGAGTCGCCAACAAGTTTTAGGAACTTGTAAACCGTTCACAGGGTGAAGATTACACCCCTTAACGATCCAGGAGATAGTTAAACTCCAATAGGTCTGGAACCATGACTGGTAGTTCGGGGATGAAGGTACAAATCCAACCTAAAAGTGATTGAACCTGCCCTAATAATAGGCCTCTACTTTATTCTGATCGTATTCATGTGCGCTTTCTGACTAACATGCAATCAATAGGTTTAACCTGTTTATCTATGTTGGTTGAATATAAATGCACAAATAAAACTATTATTGGTGATCACTTGAATTATAATCATATTAACCCTAAACAAGAATATTAATTATCTTATTAAGCGTGATTACAAGTACCAATTCCCTTTAAACATGCATAAAAGGTGTGATCAAGCAATAACTAAAATATATATCAAGCAACATAATAATAAAAATAATAAATAATGATAATCATAATTAAAATAATCATCATAATTAAAATAATCATAATCATAATAATCATGATCATAAATTATAACAATTAAAATCATAATTAAAATAATAAAATTAATCATAATTAACATAATCATGTTCATGTTAAAAATAAAGTATAATAATAGCAAGATCCTAGGCGTGATACTAACAAGATTAATAACAAACCCTAGCATGTCACTAAGCAATAAAGATCAAAGCTTTAACCCTAACATGATACTAACATGCTATTATGAAAGACAATAAAAGGAATCATAGAAATTATAATTGACATTATATTCTTTACCCTAAACATGATACTAGGAACTTATTGTTGTCATTCTAAACATCAAATTAAGAAAAACATCCTAACATGATACTAGGAATCAATGAAATAATCTAATCATGATTTTTATATCATAATAACAATGCAAACTATTAAAGCACTTACTTGGATGCCTCGTATTTCTTTCTAATAATAAAATACACACGTTAGTAACTTCAAGAAAAATAATAAACAATAATTAAATTAAATAATTGAAAGAGAGATTTGGGTCCAAACCCTCAGAAATTATAACCTTTCACGTCTAGGGCGAAGGCAACTTCGAATTTGGCTAGGTGTGTCTAAGTCTTGCGAATGTGGAATTTTGTATTTTGAGAAAAGCTAGTTTAGAAAAGAGAGAGAGAAAGTAATCAAGAATTTCTTGATGAGAGTTGGTGAATGAAAAAGGAGTTTTTAGGAGGCTATTTATAGAGAAAATCAGCCAAAAAGATAAAAAATCGAAACAAAGTTCTGACGCGCAAAAACGAGGTTAGCGCTAGACGCTGACATTAGCGCCAGGCGCCAAGCTTAGCGTCAGGTGCTAATGCTGGCGTTTGGCGCTAACTTAATTATTGACGCGTTTTCTAAAATCAAATAGAAATTTCCGTACAGGAGGATTAAATCGTATTTTCCTCAAAAACATTCTTTTATTCTGATTAAAACTCTAAAAAGTCAACAAAAGTCAATTTATCAATGCTAATTGAATTAGAAATGAAAAGAACCTTGTAGAAGAATCTAGAAGACTAAAACCATTTCTAATTGCATTAGGAAGGATAAATCCATATTAGGCCCTCCTCTAGATCATTGGGCCGCATATAAGACTCAAACCAGGCCCAGTTCAGTATCTTGGCCATAACTTCCTCAATATTCATCGGAATTGGGCTTATAATATATCGTTGGAAAACTCTTTTCAAGCCCTATCCAAATACACTACTATTGGACCCATATCATGGACCAACCAAACTAGATTGACTGTTTTCTTAAAATAGGTTTTCAAAAACAGAGAGAAGAGAAAAGAAATTAAAACTATCTGCAACATTAGACTTTCTACACTTTCACTTCATTCGATTACGATTCGACGTGAAAGGTACTCATCAGTGGGTTTGGTTTTGGGGAGACACAAATGGGTGTCTACAGTGATGTTGTCCTTTTGATCAAATTTTCATATCAACAAATCAGGATTAACATTAAACTTGATTTAAAATTTTGATATTCTTTAGATTTTAAACTAATATTATTAATATATATAATACGTGTTTTGTATTCAAATACTTTAATAATTTAACTTTCGTACTTTGTATTATACATGCATTAATATAACAACATACTTTACTTATAAAATTCAAACGTATTATAGTATTATATTACATCTACTTTATTGGTTTTTCTTTCATTTTTTTTCCAAATTATTTTTTAATTTTTTATTTTATTTTGTTTATTTATTTATTTTTGCTACATAATCCTTAAACATTTCTTTTTAATTTTCATGACCGGTTGGCCCTAATAGCTTTTTAAGTCCTAGCTACGCTCTTGTATATGAACAAGTGTGTCAATCAAATTGTTGAAAATATCATAAATAGAGTATGCAGTATGGATTAATACTTGTATAATTTTAGATTGGTTACCATTTTGGGATATCCAAACAGTACACAAGGGTTAATGAGTAAACAAACCTAAAGGTTGGGTCTATCTTTTTATTTTTCGATTAAAATAAAGTGTACTATATTGTTGTCCAAAGAAAGTAAACAGAAACGAGGGCACAAAATTCCATGAATGCCGCCACAAATCAACCATCTGGAGCTCGTCATATCTGTTTCACCGCTTTAAGACTTTGATCTACAGCCATATAATTTGACAATATCTTGTTCTTCTTTAATTGGTTCCCAAATTTAACTACTTGTCTTCTTTACAATTGATTGAATAGAAATACTGAAATATTCCTTTAAATCTCATATTAACATAACTTTGTATTACATAAACTACTATTTTGTTTAATTTTAAATGTAATAATTTGCGGGAATAAAAAACTAATACTTTTATTCAAATAATTGCAATTACTTACTTTGTTCTATATTGATAATTGATACACAATTTTCGACTATACTTTTGAGTAATTTATGAAAACCAATAGTATAGAGTATCACATAAAGTTCTTATAAGTGAAATTACACTCCATTAAATAAAATTAAAATTCAGTAGATATCCTAAAATAAAATTGTGCAAGTTACATTCAAAGCAGATAATATCATATTAATGTGGAGTGAAGGCAGCCAATAACATGGATGATTAGGGTCCAGTAAGTTGACAAAAGTATTATCTTGCAAAACTTTGAGGAAATTATAGCTTGCAAAATATATTTAAAGGTAAACAATATCTTAAATGAATCTGTCTTGATTTAATTTTTGTTTGTCAAAACACTTTTAGAGTGAGGGCGAATGAAAAGAAAGTTTCACCTCCATATATAAATAATTGAAAGAAGAGAAATTAACCTACTTACCACTAGGTGATGCATTAAATCTCAACGGAGTAATATATTACCTCCGTTTCATATTATTTATAACGATTTAACATAAATAGAGAGAAAAAATGTCTAATTATTATAAATAATATAAAACGGAGATAGTAAATATTTTTATTCCGATAATATAAAGTGCTTTATCGGATCGAAACCATAATGAGTTTACTGTACTTATCTACAACTACGTGTTAATTAAAAGCTGTTTGTATTTGTAATGCAAATCTATTACTTGTATCATTCAACACATTATTGTCACCAATGTCACAAATAATAAAATAGTTATTATTCTTGCACAGTATACGAAGCCACCGCCAACCCATTCTAATGAAACAAGCAACGAAGAATTGAGGCAAAAGTTCTTTTTTGTGTAATGATAATGTAGTAAAATTTTCTCACTGTATTTTTGTTTTTATGTCAAGAGGTTTCCTACAATTTAAGGGAACTCTGTAAGGGTTTATCTAAAATATGTTACCAAGTATAATTTTGGAATATATGTCAAGAGATTTCCTATAGTTTAAGGGAACTACATATGTGTTATTATGGTAATGAAAGTCATTTGTCTACTCTGATCTAATTATGTGCAGTTGTGTGCACATAAGGAAGGTAGGACATTGTCCATCTCAAAACTACACTCCTTGTTGAATATTCTTATACATACCCGGATACACCATACACCCATAAGTATTTTGTTCTCATTTTGATGAATTTTTTTCATTTAATCATCAAATGAAGAGCAAAAACTAACTTTAGTTTAATTAGATATATACCGTTCCAAGCTAGTTAAGTATGCTTTCAATAAAACAAAGATGTACACATACATTGTTGGTATAGGTTGCCCCATCAATCTAGAGATGCAATTCGGACAATTGGTTCAAGTTTGATTATGTCCTAGCCGGGTTGAATTTGAGTAATGTCTAGTTCAGATTTAATTTGAATCAGATTAGTTTTGAATCAGATCGAATTAGTTCATGTTTTTGTCACCTTAACCTCTTACACAAATTGTGAATATTCTAAAATCAAATGGACTACTCATATATGTATTGTGATTACCATATAGGCACATATATATATGTTTAGTCTATAGTTGAAAGTTGATTTCATAGATTTATTTGCTTATGCCGAAAATCCTACTTCTACAATTGGTAGGTTACCGGCGGGTTGTAATTCAAATAAGTTGTGTTTTATGGTTTTTCAATATTACAACTCGTTCTGTACAAAATCGATCAATATCGAATGAATTGGTTAAACATTCTATTAAGGTGCCTGATTTTGACTCTTCTATATGATATTCAATTTTATTTACAACACACTGTAATTAATTTAATAGAAGTAAAGGGATAACATTATCCGAAGATATGGAGATTGGAGAGAGGGGGTAGCATGTTATGGGAACAACGAACGAAGAAGTGTCCAGCGTGGACAAAAGGACACGTGGCGGTGAGAGATAGCCTGAAAGTGCCAACAGTCCACATGTGTCATAGAAATGGAGTTATACACCTGGCTTTTCCACCCTCCTTTAACACCCCAACCTTCTGCCGCCCAGCAGTCATCACCCTTTTCTCTAAACAATTATTTTATTTTCCTCTTCTACCCCCTATAAAAACCATACATTTTTTGTTGCACCATTTATTCATCATATATCATCCTTCCTTTGTCAATAACAATATTATCATCCTAATATCTTATCATATCATATCATTTGTTATAAATAATATTTATATACATACTTATTTGTACCAAGTTATATAGGTTTTGTGTACAACGACTGATAAAGATCTGAAAATAAATTAAAAATAATCATCATGATGATGAGTTCACATAATAATATTGGTGGTGAGTCTAGTGGTTCTTCTTCGGGAGAGTTTGAAATAGCAAGGGTGTTGGCGAATTTAAGGAAACACGATAGCGCCGCTGCGGCCGTGGCGGTGGAGGTGGAGGAGGAGATGAGAGGAAGTAGTGGCGGCGGCCGCTGCGGCGACTCGGTAGGACATCAAGGTGATGGTGGTGATAACAATAACAATTGTTGGGGGAGTAAAGGGAAGCGGTGGATGAGTAATAAGCGTGTAAAAGAGTCTTCTTCATCACTTCATTCTTCTTCTCCTTCTGTTTCTCCCTTGCCTTTCGATCTTAACGTGGTACTTTAATCTCTCTTTTCTTATTCTTTTTTTTTTTGTTAATGTTATTGTTACATGCAATCTATGTTGCACAAAATTTAACAAGTTGAAATTAAATACGAGGTACAAAAGTTATATGATAGGGACATAAGATGTAAGAGTTCCTCGTACTTTGTTCATATGACGGTTGCAAAAAGCTATTTGTAGTAGACTAGTAGTCATATTGTAACAGTAGAAAGTAATAGGATGCCAAGTGGTTATTTGAGCATGAAGCCATGAAGTATGTGGGCTCCAAAGTATATCGACTTAAGATAATATGGTGGAGACGTTTTGACTTTTGCCATAACATAGTGAACACGTTTTGACTTTTGACATTATTTATAAATTTGACTGTGATTACTATTTGTGATTTATATACTAGATTTTTATTAAATCTGTTTTAATGTTTTTTTTTTTTTTTTGAAAACTTTTAATGTGTACTTAGTTAAAGTTTTATTTAGAATGAAGGAATCTTCAAAATTTTAAAATGAAGGAAGTATAGATAGAGTATAGACATAGTACTTTTTCACCATGCTATCTTAATTAGTAAAAAATGAGTTTGAACTTGTGACCTTAAAAAGTAAAAAAATTCTCTAACCTTTAATTTTTTTTAACAAGTGAAGTCTAGTTAGTTTGTTTGTGTAATCAAGATTTATGTTTAGTATAAACTAGATGAAGCCCGTGCATCGCACGGTTTGTTAGTATTTTTGTTAAAAATAATATTTTTCATATTTATGTGATTAAAATTGTTATTATATTAGTTTTAAAATATTAGTAAAAATCCTAATCCCAAAAGATAATATTTTGTATTTAATTAATTTAAACTTTAAAATCTCATTCGCCAATTTTTTTTTCGTGATATTTAAATTATTTAATTGTAAAAGAAATTAATAATCTCTTATTTAATTGGCTACCACTTAAATTTATAATCCTACATGGCACACTAAGAAAATTAAATCCTACGTAGCTCTTAAAAACTCGGGGAAAAACTCCCCTTTAAATATATATATTAGATTAACTCTTATAATTGAAAGATTATAGTGATTATAAGATTTGGATCTTTTAGTTTTAAGGGCCTGATTAGCTGAGCTCTTTATGAGAGAAAGAAATTAGGAGCTGAACTAAACTGAAATTAATGTGAAGAGAACATACCTTAAATGAGAGGGTTCTTTCTTTATAAATCTAAAATGAAATGTGAGTAAACATTACCAAAATCTTATCTTTGTTTCTAAGACCAAAAGTTCATGTTCATTAATAACCAAAGTGTGAACAAATATTAATATTTTGCACAAAAGGGCAAAGGTGTACGTCTCGCAGCCATAAAATCAAATAGGAAGATAAAAAAGAAATCAGAGACAAGATAAGATTAATATACCAGGACCGCTAATATTAATAAAAAAAATTTACATCATGATTGATGGAATCAAGATAAAATATCATAGAATCAAATTTAAGTTATTATTAATACCATGAGTTGTAACATATTGTTTCTTAGAATATGCACTTTATTCGATTATTTATATGTATAGGGTTTTGCTAACGCCCCGGGTGTTGAGTAAGCATTTAAAATCTTACCCAAAGTAGTATTAATTTGGGAAAGTATGACAAAATCACGTGTCGATCAGTGTAATTAATGTTTATTTTAATTTAATCTTTCTACTTTTAACTAGCTTATCTAACGCCCCCGTACCGTTCGTTAGCATTTGCCATATGTATATAGTCCGTATTTATTTTGGGTCTTATGTGTTAGTTCAATAGCAAAAACACACACAAACAGAAAGGAAAAAAAATAAAATAAATTTGCGTACAAGCATTAACAGCATAACATGCTTCATCATAAAACCAACCGACTATAGGTGGAATAATTGTTTTTAATCATCATAATATTTTGACTTTCACGATTGTCAATGTATTGTTTAAAAAAAGTTACTTTTGAAAATAACATTGAGATGAATTTGACAAATCCTATTGACTACTTAATACGTATACCCCAGATTTTGCTTTTAATATGATAACAATGGTGTAAGAGTTTGTGGTAATGGACTACTCTACTTTCATTAAGGGTTACAGATTTATACGGTGCAACTGTGCAAAACTGTTTAACATGTTTCGTTTGTGTAGGATCAGCCTAATGTATTTCAAGAGGAGTGTCAAAGTGTTGATGTAAAACCTGAAAAGAGCTACGAATCCGCTGAACGAGTCCGTGTTTGTAATTCAGCACATAATACTGGGAGGTCTAGGCATAATCTGACTGAGGTATATGACAGAGGTCAAGACATAATGGTGATCTAATTAACCTTTACTTCCATGATTGTTTTTGACAGCAAATGGTGGTCTAGTTTGCCTTTTTATTCACATTCATAATATGCCATATATTCTGAATGATTTAGGCAGAAAAGGAAGCACGAAGAATACGTAGGATACTAGCTAATAGAGAGTCTGCACGACAAACTATTCGCAGGAGACAGGTATTTCTTTTTCCACAAGTATTGTAAATATATGATACTGTGCTATTGTGGTTTTGATCTCTAAATCTCATTTATTAACTTAATGTTTGTTTCAGGCTTTTCATGAGGAACTAACAAGAAAAGCCACGGAATTAGCATCTGAAAATGAAAGATTAAAACGAGTAAGTAGCTTTGTTTTTCCCATTTAATTTGCTTCATGACCTTGGTACAATAAGTGTATCTCTAGTTTCGGTGTATCTCCATAAACTGACATCGTTCCCTCGGTTTCTTAATATTCAAAAGAACAAGGATTTGGCTGTCAAGGAGTTTCAGTCTCTACAAACTACAAACCAAAAACTTAAAGGACAGGTAGACATTTACAACATAACACCAAATAGCACAAGATTTTGTTATATGCTTTTGATGTAAACAAGGATATACTTTACATTTCATTAGTGTTATGCAGTTATCTCAAACATTAGGCTTCAAACTTGGAGAGAATGAAGGAGAAGCTCAACCATGTTGTCCCGATACTCATAACGTTAACACTCAGTCAGCAAATTGGGCACAGTTTGTGTACAAGAAGTTATCTGCAAGTCCCTTTGTAATCCCTGCATGTTTGCCGCCTTCTGACTTGAACGTATCAAATTTAACTCCCTGCAGATTCTCCGAGCAGGATAATTCTCGGAGTATGAATGGCCAAAATATGCCTTGGTGTATATTACCCTGCCCCATGTTCCTTCCAATACATGATATCAAGAATTTTTCTTCATTACATATGAAAGATAGAGATGAAGGCACTTCAGTTGATTCTAATCATGTTCATAGTCCATCTTCAGATTATAGTCCATCATCAGTTATACGTTGCGTACACAACTGTCAGTTAGTTAGTCCTGCAGATAGAATAAGTAGTGGTCTTCCATCAACACAAGACGATTGCAGAAATGGTTTCCATCGATTCCCATTTGGATTATCTCTAGACGGAGGGGGTCAAAAGATGGTACCGTGTTGCTCAAGAGGTGATTTTGCTATAGAACGAGAGGATTGTGTCACTCCGCATACTCTAGTTAACACGAATGTTTCTTCAGCAGCATGTGTAGAGTCTGCAAGTGCTTTAACGGAGAAAAGAAAAGAGTGTGTTCTAAAAAAGAGGGAGAGAAATGTTGCAAGAGCAGAGGCCAGGAAAAAACGGAAGGAGCTGATGAAACTAAAGAGTCGCCTTCACTGCCAATTAATAGGATGAGAAAGTAGCTGAGAAATAAACTATTGATGAGCTTGTGTTAGTGTTTCTAACTGACTGATGAATTTTTTTGTCTCTTGAAAGGATAAATGGCTTCTTTCCTCTCGGAACAATGCTCGACAGTAGAACTAATGCTGCACCTTGCTGGTTGAACCAGGCTAAAGTGTCTTGCAGCGGTTAGCATGGAACATTTTGTATGATTGAAGAGCTTTGTATTAGCAATACCATGGTATTGTAAGCGTTTAATGGCTTACAATAGTTGGTATGGATTATGAACATTTTGTATGAAGAGTGTTGTATAGCAAAGACCATGCTTATGTAGTTGTTGCTCAGTTATCGGTAGTTCAAAGTAACCGAGTATGTGACTTGAAGCAACTAGTTGGTTCCAATTTTTCTTGCATATTTTAGGAATTGTTCTGTGTAAACTCTGTTCTGTTATTAGATGTTGAACAAATTTTGCTATATTGGTTTGCTAAATGTAGACTCCATATAACTATATATCTGACCTCCTCTAAAGATTCTCAGCTGTATAACGACTCGACTCTAGCTAAACCATCTATATCCCATTTATGACCTCTCCAACCTCACCGCATGCTCCCCAAGATATACGATGAGGGTGGAAGGTGGAGTCCGCGGAGGAGCTAACCACCCTGACACCCTCTCGTATTCTTTTGTTATTACTGATTTATTCTTAAATTTCACATATTATTACGATGCTAGTTTAAATTTACGTATGGAAAAAAATGTACCATTAAACAACTAACTAGCAACCTACAAGCCCTCAAACACTACATTACTAATTCTAACTAGTTTCAAAAACCCGATTTCTCAATTGTATGCCCCCGGTAGATCACAATAGGGCTTCTAACTCTATGATTAGAACTAGACTCAACCCACTCTAAGAATGAATTATGAGTGTAGACTGTAGGATCCGACCAATCATCTAAGGTTGAAGAAGAAGTAGGATCAGTTACAGTTCCTTTCACCACAACATTGAAGGACTTTTTCTGTTGCGCTTTTGTGAATACCAAGACATCAGGAATGACTTTGATAGACACACCCTTATTCGGTGATGTCACTTGGGCTTTGTAAACTGCAGCACCGTGTTCTACATAGGTTACTGTCCGATGAAAGACTCCTGAAATTCGTGTTACATTAACAGCAAGTTGAAGGTGCATCGAAGGATAGTTTAGGCCATCAGCTCCAACCCCTTGTTTGAATTTTGAGCAGTTGTAGTGATTTTTACTGTTTTCAATTCCATGGATAAAGGATAGCGCGCTTTCATTGTAACCTTCAAAGCATAGGTACCGAATGTAATCCTTTGGTGAGATGTCGTAGACTAGGCCTGGATGAACTGCATCAACAGGGTTAAGCAGCCCGGCTCCTGAGTTCAATGGATCCTCTGAGCTCTTTCCATTCACAGGTTTAGCTGCAGTATGTACACAGAAAAACAGAAATCGGCATTGGTTTGTGATTTAACTAAATTATACAGCTTACGATTTCTAGTAGTGAAGACCTTACCAGTGGTCATGAGAGCGGATTTGATGGCAGCAGGCGACCAGTCAGGATGGAATGTCTTAACATAAGCAGCAGCACCCGAGACATGAGGACAAGCCATGGATGTACCGGTAATGATGTTGAAGACATTGCGTCGTTTGTCCTCATCGTAATCTGTTATAGGCGCCAGTTTTGAGAATGCAGCAAGAATGTCCATCCCAGGTGCACTTATATCAGGCTGTATCATTCATTTACACCAGTAAGAACATTTCATCATACAAAATTATAAATATTTTCCCTTTAAATGGTGTTTCTATGTACATCTTTGGTTAAATGATTTATTTTAAATGGTGTTTCTATGTACATCTTTGGTTAAATGATTTATTTTAAATGGTGTTTCTATGTACATCTTTGGTTAAATGATTTATTTTAAATGGGGTTTCTATGTACAATGTTTTCTATTGACGTGCACTACGTAAGTAATGTACCTCTCACAACTCCTGAAATATATAAATTTTGTGAACTCCTGAAATATATAAATTTTGTGGGTCGGGTAATAGAATAAAATTTATTCGACTTATATCGAATAATGGTTGCAATATAGGTAAATTTGTTACCTTGAGGATGTTCTTAGCTAGAGTTTGTGGACCTCTTGATGAAAATGAAGCAACCATAGGAGCGTTTGTTGTATGAACAACTCTTGTTTTGTGTATTACAGCTAGTGGTGACCTGAAATTTCAATGTTATTTAACTTAATAAAATGCCTAAAGCTCAAAATGTAGCATGTCACGCACAAATTGGACTAAATTTAAAATTTTATTAATGTTAGCCACTTAAACTTTTAAAGATTCGAATATGTGACCAATTGGAAAATTCTTAAAATAATACGAAGTACAATTTAACAAATTTACATTGAAATGACTAAAAATCATAATGTAAGAAAAAGGTATTGAGAGTATTTGGCAATTGGCCTTTTGCCTAACTTCTGGCTTTTTAGTTTGGTCAAACAGTCAAAAAATATGTTTGGTAGTTAGCTAATAAAAGTAGTTTTCTAATAACCAAATACTATTGTAAACAGTCGGCTTAAACAACTAACTTAAAAAGCCAATTCATACAATTAATACTTCCAGTTAGTCAAAAAAACCAATAACCAACCGCCGATTGTCAAACAACCCTATTGCATGTACTACGTATAAATTAACGAATAAAAATGGTCAAAGTAGTATTCTATACGAGTGAGTCAAGTCAAGTCGAGTAAACTTACTTAGTGGTGTTAATATATCGGCCAATGTGTTTACCAGCCTCAGCAGAAACAAAAGAAGCAGGGATAAGAGTAGTGTAAGCGGATTCAATGGGGTCATCAGCAGCAATGATGGCACCAGCTCCATGGGCTACACTCACGGTATAATCTGCATATGCATAACCCAAGCATAACAATATCTTCCCCTCGGCTTTTTTCTTCGACAGAGTATCTATTTCACATGTGCTGCCATCCATTAAAGTTTTAATTTCTTTAATTTTTCTAGTTGATAGATAAATAATTCAAACAATTATGAAGTGACTAGAAAAGACACAAAAATGAATTAGAATGGCTCGAGTCATTACTTGAATATGATCTGAACTAAATTAAGTTCTATCATGAGAATGTTTGATATAATATTAAACTTCTTCTGTTTTTCTATTTAAGAGTCTTAATTTGATCAGATATGTTTGCTAATCCACAACTTTAGGGAACAATATTTTTAATTAGTAATCCTTCCGTTTTTTAATAATTGATTCATTTCTCTTGAACACGTATACCGATGCTAATCTTTAATCAATAAAATCTTTAATTATCAATAAGTATAAATTCTAACAATTGAAAATTCTATTTATTGAGACGATTCTAACAAGTATCCACAATACTATAATTTTTCTTATGCATAAATCATAAACATCAGTCAAAGTAAGATAAATGAATAGTTTAAAAAAATAGATTTGGAGCAAGTATTTAAAAATGAAGTATTAACTATACATTGAAGAAACAATACAACAAGAGGATTTTGGTGTTAGGCTAGGTTTAATTTATCTTATTGAAGAACCTTATTACTTTTAAGATCAATTTTAAAAAATAAAATCATATCAAATTAAAACATAACTTTAACTTATATGAAGTATCAAATAAGTATAAATAAGGTAAACCTAGCCTAACACCAAACTTGGTTTGAATAGTGCAAAATATCTAAGTAAAACACACACATAAAAAAAATAAAAAAAAAGGGGGAAAATGATGATCTATTGACTATTTGACAATATGAAGTGATACCTTAGATTTGATAAAGGACTCAAAGTGCGGTTTAACACGGTGTCATTTAACGCGAAAATGGAGCTTGTCAAAGGATACATTCTTTTCTTAGGAGAATATGTATTCACTGCTACCCCCTGTTCCACAAAACGATCCAACATCAATAACATCTTATGCAATAAATAATAAAGGGAAATTCTACATTATAATCCTGAAAATTTCGAAATTCTACACTGTGTTCATGATTTTTGAAAAGTCTACACTATAACCCAAGGTCCACTTAGTTACTCTATTGTGCCCTTGCCGTTAAGTATCCGTTAGTATGTTTCGTTATCTTGAAAAAAAAAGAAAAAATCAAAACCGCCAACCCCAGCCACCCACAGCCACCCGCTGCAACTAACCGACAACCAGCCTTACCCTCAACCTTGGCCGGCGACCGCCGCGCAAACCCCCTTCCCCTCCCCCGGTGTCGGCGCTACCCAGACCACCCTCCCCATTTCCCGTAAAATCTCGCGTACCCCTCCCCCTCCCTCGAAAAAACCTTAAATAGCCTCCCTAATCGTCGGAAACTCGGAAAGCATCGAGTTGCACCTCTCCTCACCGCCACCGCCGCCGCCGTAGCGTTCCGCTCTTATTCCTTTTCTCTCTCTCTCTCTTAGCCATAGCCTTCTGTTGCTAGAAATCGAAGGTTAACAGAAGGCTAGGGCTAGGGTTTGGAATTTGGGGGTTGGGATTTGGGAGAATTCGCTGGATTTCGTGGTGTTCGAAGGGGTAAGAGGAGGTGGTCGAGGCAGCACTGACGTCGGGGGAGGGGAAGGAGTCTGGGCGGTGGCCGGCGCTCCATGGGGGAATGGGGATGGGCTGGTGGTGGCAGCAGGCTGGGCATGGTGGCAGCGGGCTGGGTGGTTTTGGTGTTTTATTATTATTATTATTTAATTTTATTTATTTTATATTATTTTTTTTATTTCTGTAAGCCAATCATACGTTGCTTCGTTAAAAATAACAGAACATACTAACGGAGATTTAGTGTCAAGGGTACACCAAAGTCACTAAGTGGACCTTGGGGTTATAGTGTAGACTTTTCAAAAATCATGGACACAATGTAGAATTTCGAAATCTTCAGGGTTATAATGTAGAATTTTCCAAAAAAATATGGTTTGGAATGCTTTTTAAAGCATACTTGTACTTTTTTTACAAAGATACTTGTACATTTACTATCTATACAAAATGTGTACATCCAATATTGTAATTTAAGGCTGTTGATGTAGGAAAAGCTTGTGTTAATAAGCAAACTACATATAGTAACTGTCCACGATTCTTTATAATGTATCTATCTCTATATATACAGTTTGGATGAAAAAAAATTTATAAGGAGTTGAAATATGTACAAATGTTCGATAACTTATTTTTCTACTCTCTTTGTTTTAAAATACTTGCTTCATTTTTTTTTTTTTTTGTCGTTCTTAAATCTTTGCTTCAGTTCCTTATCTGAAAAGCATTTACAATATTAAATTAATTTCTCTCACCTAGTGGATCCACCATGATCAGATATTCAGATTTAATTATTTTCATATTTTCTCTCCTCCAATTTTCTTCATTACTTTTGCTTTTTTACAATTTTTTATTCTTCTACTTACCCCAATACCTTCATATTTTATTATTTTCTCCAATTTCTCCTAAAACTCTGCGTATAAAGAAATTGAACAAGTAATTAAAAATAGAGTGGGTACCTTTTTAAAAGTATAAGCAAACACTTATAATTAGTGTTAAAAATTATACCCTTAGAAAAATTAATTTATGGATTTACCCCTTTTAAAAGTATGACTACATCTTTATAACTCCCACCGTCCATTAATTAGATGTATATTTCTCTTTATTATGTGAGTAATAAATGCTAAAAATAGATATCTAATAAAGGGACAGAGAGAGTAATAATGTTGAAACGATTATATTCCTAAAATGTTATTTACATATTTACCCTCAATAAATGTTAATGGTTTATTTTTTAACTCTTCAGTATAGGCGTATAGTATGTGAATATTTATATCCCTAAAAATATTTATTTACATATTTCTTCTAATTAACGCTACTAACAACACCAAACCGAAAAAACATTAATTCGGTCATGGCAATATGGCTTGCTATTAGCCACCCTAGTCATATACATAATTAAGAGAAGATGAGATAAAAATGTCACAACTCACAACTAAGCTAGTGTAAGGCAAAGAAATAAATGACTTACATCGAATTTCAAGCCATTACCAAGCTCTACCAAAGTCATAAACTGTCGATCCAAATTAGTAGCAGCAACAGTCAAAACCCAAGGAGCCACATTCCCTACAGTCCCACTATAAGGCCCGTCATTTCCCCCAGCACAGACTGTCAAAATCCCCTTCTTCATGGCGTGAAACGAACCGATGGCTAAGACATCTTTCGAGAAGTTCCTCACAGGGCCGCCTATGGAGAACGATATGATATCGACTCCATCAGCAATTGCATCGTCGAATGCAGCTAGGATGTTCGTGTCCGAACACCCTACACTGCCACACACTTTATACATGGCAATGCGCCCGCTAGGTACCCCGCCTCGGACTGTTCCCTTAGCTACTCCGTATAAGCTTGCTCCCTCGACGGACCTCCCTGCCGCTGTTGATGCTGTGTGTGTTCCGTGCCCTTCGTTGTCGACCGGGGTGGGTTCCATTCCTGTGTCTTCTCCTAGGTTGTAGTACCTTGCTCCTATTACCTTCCTACAAAATGTAACTTAAACATGTTAAGAGTCGACTTTAACTTAATATTTGACTCTTATTACAATATTTTCCCTCCGTTTCATTTTTCAAAAAATTAAGGCAGCTAATGCGCACGTCATAACTAGTCATATTCGAAATCTCTTTCAGTTAGGCGATATATCAAAAATTTAGTTATTGGCAAACATGGTAGCATGATGAAAGAAAATATATAAACAATAATTTAAGGGTATAAATGTTCACGCGCTATTTTTAAGAGTTTTTTTTAAAGGTAATTATCATTAATGAGGGCAAAATAAATAAATAAATAAAATTTTTAAAAAAAAAAACATTTATATGGTATAATTGTCCACACACTATTCATTATGAACAAACTTATACTCCGTACACATTAATGAGGTTATATATTCTAATACATATTTTAAAGGGTATTATTGACATCACGCTATTTATAAGAGTAATCTTGTACGTTTTATAAGGTAGGGATGCCAGATGCACATAAACACGCATATATTTGCAAGAAAATAAAATTGACCTGTTACATCCAGTGAAATTTTTGCCTGTATCACATTTTCCTTTCCACTTGGTTGGGGGAGGACCATATCCTTCATCATTGAAGCTTGGTGCTTCAACATAAATCCCTATTAACACATAGCAAGTTTGTACGTGCCATAAAAGTTATAAGAATGTCATTTAAACAATAATGAATCAAACAAACAAACATAAAAATAAAAAATAAGAAGTAACCTGTGTCCAACAGCCCCACAATAACCTCACTTTCACTTTGAAGGTTACGTTGCTTCAAATTTTCAGGCATTCCCAAGAAATCCCATGATCTTGTTGTGAGAAGTTTTCGTATTGTGCTTGGAAATACCGATACTACATTGCTTTTCTCTACGTTTCTCAATTCATCACGAGTGTATTCCATTAATTAATATATATATGTGTAACAATATATGAACCACACTAATATACCTTGTCGGACATGAATATGAATATATTTAGTACCTGATAACCTTTGTGCCTCACTAGGCAATAATCTTGCCGCAAATCCATTAAGACTCCTACCATAGCTATGTATCTTAGCTGCCTTGGCCACACTTTCACTGAATTTTTTCAAAAAAAAAAAAAGTTTCTTATTAATTTGGTAATTGTTTGTAATTGTAGTTAATATATTATTAAATATATTTTTAGAGGAAAAAAAGAACATACTCTCCAATGGTTTCAGCAAGCAAATTGTGATGATGCGACTCCACTGTCAGTTGTTCAAGTCCGCTTGACGACTCCCCCATGTATACTACGTATGGCTAAATATTATATCAAAGTTAGTCCAAAACAAAGAAAAATGAATCATGTTAGTTTTTTAATCTCACTTTTAAATTTAATTAATTTTGTTTAATGGGATTTATATGAATAATAATGGTTTTTTTAGACAGTGTAGTTGGACTTGAAATTTAGTGGTAGAAATTACTAGTTGTTCTCTCATATGTTTAGTTGTTAAATGTGAAAAGCTATTAAAATGCAAAAGATTCCCACAACATTTCATAATTCAGTACTCCGTATGTAAAATGAGGAAAATAAATGCAAGTGATCAAAAATCAATTTTTTATTTTTTTTATTTTTTTATATTTTTTTCCGTTTTATATGGACAAGCTCAGCATCCACTAATTTCTCAACTTTTTAATAATTTAAAAAGCATTTAACAAACCTACTAAAATTTAGATATTTGTACCTAGTCCTTTCTCTTTGTATTTTACACTATGAATTTTAGAAATGGGTGACATTAGTAAAACAAGTGTGTATTTAATTTGTTTACTCCAATAGTAAAGTAATGAAAACAAAAGGAATATACATGTGGAATTGTACTTCTTTACTAATTACAAATTGTTAATTTGTTATCAATCCAACACTAATTAAATTAATGACATTTAGTGTTATATACAAAGTACAATGTAATGATATATAGGAGAACATTATCAAATTAATAAAAAATACTCCTTCTATTCCCAAAAGTTCAACCCTTTTGGCCTAATTTTAGTTCCAAAATGATCAATCATTTGCATTAAAATATCCACCAATTTACAATAATATTTGTGAAAAATTAGCTTCTCAGCCTATATAAATTTTTTTTTTTTCATGTACTTTTAATACTTTTTCTCTATTATTTTACATACCCCATATAAATTTGTCTTTCTAATATATTTTACTTCTTTTTATTTAATTTTCTTAATATCTGCGAAATCAACCTAAAAGGGTCGTTCTTTTAGGAATATAAGGGAGTACATAAGAGTACTTTTAAAAAGTTTCCGCATCAATTATCAAACAAATTGAAATTAATTATGACTACACTCGCTCTGTAAGGAATGAATTGACAATTTACTACGGATTACTTCCGATCATAAGGGAAACTTTTTAATAATACTCCGTACGAAATATTTCATCAAAGTGATACACAATCTAATTAAGCATTGTGAAATGTCTCATCACTCAATTGCAAAAGAACTTAGCTTGATGATTATGTTATAATTTTTGTGCTATCACATGTTCACATCAGTCACAAGTACATACCTTTCTTTCATTATTGTCGTTTAAACCCTTGATCAATGTAACTCCAACATTTATGAAGAATAAAAGAAGAACAAACTTGTTCATTATTCTACTCTCAATCTCTTACTCTTTTTCTCAATATACTCACACAATTAGGAAAAGTGAGAGGATTTGTTTATGACTAATTAAGTATTGATATTTTGATTAAAAAATGGAATAATGGTATTTATAAGAGTTGACGAGGCTGCTGATCGAGTAGAATCATCTTTCCTCCAAGAAAAAGAAAATGAAAGTTGAGTTAATCTTGGCTTTCATTCAGGATCGTAAAAATAATAATTTACTAAAATGAAGAAATCAGTCTTCCCATGCACATCGGAAGGACTGTTTCAGAAATTGATATTTGCTAACAATCAGTAGTAATTTGTTGAATGTGGCCCATAATATAATCTATTACTTCATCTTATTACGGAGTTATTTTAATACTTTATACTTCTTCCATTCTATTAATATTGCAACAACTGAATTTACGTTAAGCAAAATATAGTCATGCATGTGAGATCTGTTTAGATTTGACTCATAAAATACTTTCACGATATTAATTTTATATATTTTTTACTCTTAGACAATTATAGATATTTAGCATATAAAATGTACTTTGAGATGCGTAATTTCATCTTTGTTATGAATAAGACATAAAAAAAACTGAAATAAAATACTCCGTATATGAAATTTAAGTGTTTTTTTTGTAACATAATATTGTGTTTTTTTGGAGGAAATATTTGGAAGATAATTTGTGATTATGATAGAATCTTATACTCCGTATGAATAAGGAGTAATCCGTAATTGTTAATTTTAAACGGACTAAATATTAAATTTTCGAGTACTATAAAAATTAATTGTTAGATTAGAATATCAATAAAGAGCCAAGACACGTGCATCGCATTAGTCTAATAATCCTTACTTAAAATTCTTTTTAACACAAAATATAATGTTAATTACCCTTCAAAAAAACCATACTTAAGCTTGTATGAAGTACTATATACTACAATATTCATTATACTTTTTAGGTGAATTAAGATTTTTTCACCTGGTCACCCTTTGGGCTAATCTAGATTCGTGGTTTAATTTTAAGTGATTAGATTTCAATCTCCTCCCATTTGTTGTTACGAGGAATCAAACAGAGGAAGAATCGACAAAGAATGACGAACATAAAATTGTGAATGAAAAAGCGTAAGGAGAATGATCGACTCTGTCCCTATTAAGTGCAATTCCAATCACCACTACACCAAAACCTAATTAGTTAGATAGATAAATTAAGATCACAAACTTTCATATTGTGGCTGGCCACACGGATTAATTTTTAATATTTTTTTTTTTAAAAAAAAAACTACAGTACACCACTTTCCTTCTTCTTGAGATAGCAATTGGATTTTCTCTCTCCTCTTTTCTTCTACACCACAAATATGGGTTTTCAATTAGGCGAAAATCGAAGATGCTCCTTATCAAATTGTTGCAATTAATGGCCGAAATCATTATTATTGATTGCTGAAACACTGATTGCCAGTGGATTAGAAGTCGAAATTGTTGTTGCTGGTTGTTTGGTTGCGTAGGGGAAAAGAGCAGGAGGAGTTGTGGTTTAACAATGGAGTTGAGAGGAGGAAGAAGAAGTTAAGAGTGAAGGAGTGGGGGCGGAGATTCGCTGGACTACTTGGACTACTCGTACTCCCTCGTCAACCGTCATTCCGTCAATGTCGTCATTTCTAGCTACTTTTTTTTCAACACAATTTCCTAACTACTTGACAGCAATCAAGGAAATATATATGGTAGGACTTTTTATTTTGTTTTTATCTTTTTCAACTTATTTTTGGGGTCATTTTGCACCCATTCAAATTCATAGATTTTGGAAGTGCGCGAGAGGGAGATGGTTGATTGTTGTGGTGGTTGGAATTGGTGATTTGGTGCTGCTTTAGTGGTGGAATTGGTGGTTAGGTCAGGAGTTACTAGGTCGGAAGGATTATTAGGTTTGATGGGTTACTTGGTTAGGGGTTACTAGGTAGGTCGGAGGGGTTACTTGGTCAGGGGTTACTAGGTAGGTCGGAGGGGTTAGGTAGGTCGGAGGGTCAGGGGTTACTAGGTAGGTCGGAGGGGTTACTTGGTCAGGGGTTACTAGGTAGATCGGAGGGGTTACTAGGTTTGAGGTTACTAGGTAGATCGGAGGGGTTACTTGGTCAGGGGTTACTAGGTAGGTCGGAGGGGTTACTTGGTCAGGGGGTCAGAGGAATTACTTGGTCAGGGGTTACTAGATCGGAGGGGTTACTTGGTCAGGGGTTACTAGGTAGGTCGGAAGGGTTACTAGGTAGGTCGGAAGGGTTACCAGGTCGGAGGGGTTACTTGGTCAGAGGTTACTAGGTAGGTCAAAGGGGTTACCGGGTTGGAGGGGTTACTTGATCAGGGGTTACTAGGTAGGTCAGAGGGGTTACTAGGTTCGAGGTTACTAGGTAGGTCGGAGGGGTTACTTGGTCAAGAGTTACTAGGTAGGTCGGAGGGGTTACTTGGTCAGGGGTTACTAGTTACTAGGCCATCAATAGAAGTTACTTGATTAAGTGTTACTTTTATGTTAGTTGGCCACACCGTGTGACCAGCCACACACAAAACCTACTGATCAATTGATTAACTAAGGGAATGGTAAACCGGTAACAATCGTTGGGAAGGCGGTCAATTTGTTAGACAAAACAGCCATAAAAGTTTTAAACCCCAAAAAAAAAAAGGGTTGAAAATTAATTTCCTAGTACCAGCAATTTATAAAAACTGTAGTAAGTGAGCTACACACAATGTTCAAAAATTACTTAAAATGATCAAAATTACTTAAATCACTTACATTGTTTGATTAGGCAAGATGACCGAATCCATATAATATCAAGAACAGATTAAATTAAACTTATATGCAACGATTTTACCAAACATGAGTCAAGTTACCTAAAATGATCTAAGTTACTTCAATATATTTACATATAAACGTTAGAATATTTATATAGATAAGTTACATCCTTTGAAGGAGCTAAAATCGAGCTGGCAATTCCTGACATAACACAACACAGTCAAAACCGGCATGACACGAACACGAAGTTACTGAGAGAAAACACGAAATCAACCGAAACTAACCCGAACACGGCCCGTTTAGATAAAGTGGTCAAATTATACAATTATCCTACATTGTAAATAGTTTTTGATAGATTTTGTGAACATAAAATCGACATGAGAACAAACACAAATACGACACGACACTACTTTTTGACAACTCTACATAATAGTGGGGAGTCGGGGAGGAATTTATTTTTCTATGTTAGATAAGAGTGGAGACCCAATACTGGAGGGCAGAAAAACTGCATAGACTAGTATCCCAATATATACAATTAATACAAACCTAGCACTCTACAAACAGGAATTAAATCTCGGAGTTACCTCCTTAAAAGTTTCTTATCAAACTCAGGGGCAACGATCTCCTGACACCGCACTATTCCAGCTGCTCCTCCATAGCACAACCATTTCTCACTTCCCTTATTCATGTTCCATCTCACTTTATTCATAGAGACCGCCTTTGGAGGAAAAACATCGATTTCAGCAACTACTTCTGCTTTGGGCTCTGGTTTTCCATCAATACTCTCCCCATCTCTATCCGCACATATCAGTGCTTGATCATCACTAGACTTTCTCGATTTGATTGATTTTCCTTTTCCAGCTTTCACACTCGTCTGAGCCTCATTTGTGTCTACACCTTCAGCATCATCACCGTAACACAATGCTGCAATATTGTGGGAAGTTGCATTAATGCAGATGACAGAATAATCCCAAATACAAAGAATAAACGAGATGAGCAGCTTACCAAGAACCTGATCATCTGGTTTTTGGCCTTTTTCAGTCCCTTTTCTAGTCCTTTTTGCCTGATTTAAACCCGTTGCAACAGTTCTTGCAGGTCTAGGCGTATTTGCCCATTCAGTTGCTGACTTTCTCATTGGCTGTGGAGAACTTGGTAACTGAGTGTTCATAGTGACTGCTGATTCTTCACTTGAAAATGAACTGCAGATAAAATGTGGGGCCCGATTTCTCAATGGATCTTTGTCCACTGCTTTATGTGTTAGCTGATAACACCAAAAACAAAAGGATTAGTTACAATGGAAAAACTTCTTTAATATAATTTCAAAAGAAAAACAGTTACTCGTACTTTAAAGCAGCTTCCCTACCCTAAACAAAAGAGCCCTTAAAAGATAACAAAATCAAATTGTTCAATACTTCTACACTAGTGCCAAACATTTCAAGGCCAAGCTTCTTCTGGTTTAGCTAGGAGGACCCTGACACTACAACTTGAGCAAACACTAATGCCTAGAAAACTGATGAGTTCCTTAGAAATCGTGCATATATTCTTATAGCTCAAAGGAGAAGCTCCAACTGGAACTTCTGAGTTCAAATAACGGATAGACAGAACAATTCACTTGATCAGATCTCGGAATTTCACCCCTACCAACAGAAAAAAAAAATGGAATTTTATTTTTATTACATTTTTTAGCATTAATAAAAGACTGAGAACTATTAAAAATGGCGTCTTGTGATTCAAAGTTACCAAAACCAAAAAATGAACTAGGGAGTACCTCTAAATTCTCAAGCAAAAATTTAGTATTTGATAAATGTGCAATCAATATCAGCCATAGCCTATGAATTCATAAAGCTTCTTTAAACAGAAAAAATAGCAGGTCAAATGGCATTGATGCCCGATGCATAAATCTGTTATATAGATCCCAACATCAAAGATGCAGGTCTCAGTCAAGCAGGTTACACCATTCAAACAATTATGTATCCTATTTGTTACTTAGTAAGACTTCATACATGAATCGAATATCAACCTAACGACATACAGAGCTAGATGATACTCATTGAATCCAAGTACAATGAAATAGAACCATAAACATTTAAGAGAAAATTTGGCATACATATAATAGAAATAATACAACAATTATCTTACATCAACTAATGTCCAATTAATACTCTTCTTATAATTGTGTCTAGGACAAAAAGAAGACTTACTACATCTTCTGACATTGATGCGAAGGTACCATTCATCTAGAACATTTCCTTTGAAGAAGAACTATTGAAGAGGGTACTAGGGAGATAGATGTAAACAGCATTCAACAACACAAAACTAGTAGAGAGGAGGGTTACAAAAGATCCACAGTAGAAAACACTTCACAAAAAATAGTAGTGAAGATAACACTAGAAGAAATTATTGGAGCAAATCAGTGAGTTGAACAGAAAGTTTGGATTATCTAAATGTTTACTCTTCTCGGAGGAATATAGAACTGCAGATAAAAGTGAAGAATTGTGATGGGAAGTCTAAAATTATAAATCATGTTTCCAATCAAGAAACAACACATAATAATGTAAGTAACCATCAAAAGAACAGAAAACAGCAAGAATGATGTTATTGGGAATTGAAGGTGCAACTTACCTGAAAATAGAGTACAGTTCCATCTGCACAGCAATATGCAACCATCCCTACATAAGAAAATAATGTCAATATCGGAGGGGAGCTGCATAAACATCGATGTATCAGGATATAGAATATTTAAATTGGGAAAAATGAGGAGAGTGCTTATGAGTTATGACTAGCTAGTTAAAACCTCTCTGCTCTCTCATTTATCATTTTTTTCCCAATAAATTTTCAAATATCATTACATTTTTATATAAGTTTTTGCCCAGTATCTCTCCCTTGTAATCTTGTACTTCCTCCACTTCACAGTGGATGACACATTTCATTTAGGCACGTTTGTTCATCCAGACTTTCTAATAATCTAATGCAAACATCCTTGATTACATATTAGCAAAAATTATAAATATTTAATATTTTAAAAATAGATGTTGAAACTAACCTAACAAGACCCAACATGAGTGTACTTTTTCTCAACACGAAATCACAACACAAAGTCAAAGCAAGGTACATGAAAGGTAAACAAAGTCAAACTATGTCATCTAATTTCTAAAGGAGGAAGTATATCATTTTTTCTTCCAAATTATGTTTTAGGAAAATTTACCTCTCCTCCATCCCACCAACCTCAAATGCTTAAACAACTATCATAGAGAGCCTTTGAAGGTTCTTATAGTTCCTCATTTCCTTAAAATTGCAACAATTTGACTGGCACACTTGTCAAAGCACAACTTTGACCATTAATATCTCTCATTTGACTAGTATCTTTTCTTTTGCTTTCATGACTCCTAGAGAAGGAAAAAGGGAGAAGGGTAGACATAGTAAAGCAAGTTGCTTGTGCGGGTGTCACTGGGTTAGATGGATTAGGCCTTTGTGGAAACTGGAAAGTAAAGTGTTGATCTCTAGAAAAGAATTGCAAGTGTTGTAAATATAATTGTGTACGAGTGCACCTGGTCCTAGTATCTGTTTACAATTTGTAGTATATTTGCAACATTTAGATCAGTTAGTTTGAATTTTTATACGGTTATACTGATATCATAAATGAACTTTGAAAGGATCTAGGCTTCTATGGTGACTTTTTTCAATCATCATGTAAAATTAATTTGGACATCACCATCCTAAGCATTGGCTTTACTTAATACCTATTATGGTTCCTTTTAATTGCAGCAGTTTGACTTTTACACTATTAATTTTGACCACATATTTTTTCTAATACATACAAAATAAATGTTATAATGGAAGATGTCCCTCCTATTCCTTTCAGATAGGTAGGATGGATGACCTGACCCGTTATGAGTCCTCCAGCCAAGCCTTAGAAGCTCAAGTCCCTTTCTCTCCTCCCTCTCCTTGGGCTTCACAACAGAAGAAGAGAATGTAACACACTCAAATAAAGGGAAAAAGGACATTTAGGAAAAACAGGAAGTACAAATCATGTACTAGCTCTACCACTAAGCTACTGAGGAACTTGAGAATCGATCTAATAGAGTTCAATTCCCGTTCTCAAACCATGACCAATTTGAGTTGACATCTGATGAAAATATACTAGTAGGAGAAATCTTCCTGATTGACAATTTTTTACCTGTAAATGGTTGGGGGATCTATATACACAATTTAAGAAAACAGTAACTATATATATATATATATATATATATATATATATATACAGAGATCGCTTAACCCAGAATTTTAGGAGCATGGGGAGATCTTTAAAGGCGAATATTAAGCAAGTACATCAACTCAAAGCTAAAGATTAAAAAGTCTGAGGTGCATAAGATGAGTTCAAACGATCTAGCTATGAAGAAATTAAAAACATGCCATAAAATATAAAAGACAAACCACCTGTTAGTCGTGACACATGAATATTCCAAATGGCAAATGATGAGCAATAATAACTGTGCAATCCTTGTTGCTGTGTTCCACTAAAAGGCTGTCCAGTAACAGGAACATCATATGAAGCTCGTGATATACTAAGCATCCGTAGTGTTCCATCATCATAGGATACAAGTACACATCTTGACAGGAAAAAAAAAAAAAAAAAACATTTATGTAAATAGAGCAGAAAAAAAAAAACAATAATATCAATGATTGACCCATACTCTCTATGACCAAGATATAGATTACATAAAAAATCAACACATTGTTTGGATTGAAGAAAATGGAGAGAAAGGAAAGGGAGGAAAATGTATGGATGGATCATCTTTTATTTGGATAAAAAATGAGGAAGGGAATTGGAGGGGAGAGAAATGGATGGATTAAATTCTAAGAAATTGATCTCTCCAACAATGAAGAGATTGGAAGAAAAACTCATAATTTTTCCCTCCCCTTCCCTTCCCACCCCTTCCCCTACCTCCCCTTCCCTTCCCACCCCTTCCCCTCCCTCCCCTTCTTTTCCTTCCTAATGATCTATCCAAACACACTTAAGAGAAAAACAGAGCTATGCAACTCCACCAACTGAGAAGTTCTGGATTATTTTGGCATGATTATTTGCTTCAATTTAAGCCACAATAATCAGGATCAGATTATAGATCAGAAGGAAAAATCCTAAAGACGCACACGTTCAGCTTTCAAGCATTTCACTGGTGTTATGACGAGCCTTACAAATTTGCAACCATGACGGTGTGAATTGACAAATTGAATCATTGTAATTCACGAGTTTGTTCAATAGTTATAGACTTTTTGGCTTTGATATACTTTTAAAAACCATCTCATTCTTTTGTATACTACAAAGATAATGACAACTAACGGAGACATACTTGCTCCGTTCTTTTTTAATCGCTACATTTGTAATAATACACTATTCATACATACTCTTTTAACCTATGTTACTTGGACTCTTCATTTTACGTCAAGTACCCGTGTCGGACCTCAACATGCAGACATGGGTATGACACTTAGGCAATTCATTTTAGTTCAAAATCATAGAATTTTTTCACAAATTACCCGAGTCAAACACTTGGACACGAACCCAAGTCGTACATTTGTACCCGAGTCCGAGTAACATAGCTTTTAACCGTGTTTTGTGATTTATACATTAAGAAAAATATAGTTCATGTGAGATCTTTTAGATAAGTCTCATAAACTTCCAAAATATCAACTTTTTATAATTTTAAGTTAAAGATAATTAGTGATATAAATGGTGTAAAATGTGCATTGGCAAGCGTGAAACTCTCAAAGTTGCAAAAAAGATTGGAAGAAGTATGAGTATAAAAGTATCTCATGCATAAACCCAACTATGTAGTACACAGTGTACACTCAGCAAATATAAAAATTGCCTTGTCTGATCTAGTAAATATATGGTCCATACCGTCAAAACACAGTCATTTTAATCACACGTAACAGAAAGACATTCTGCTGAACAACTGTTAAATCAAGGAACATCCTTGCTCTACTCAATCACAGTTTAGAGTTGATATGTTCTTGTGCCAGATAATACTTAAAGATGAGCAAGCATCCCCTTCAATGAAAACATTAAGAAGCAATTTTAAGGAAAACCCTGAGCTTCCCATATACTACAGAATAAGTAGAGCTTACTAGCAGATCACAGGCAAGGTCGGGCTTTGGTCTAAGGCAGATAAGAGCGTGTGAAATCAGGCCTAATAGGGTGTTTCTGGCTGGGCCAGGGTATAAGTAATCAGCTTTAGCCCCAACATAGAATAGAAATCTTCACATGTGAACCAAGATTGCCGGCAGAGACGCTTCAAAGAAGACAACTCACAGTGATGATTCAGGTGTACGGGGCTTGGAAGGTTAGAAGAAACAAGAAAAATCAGGTAACTGACAGGCAAACTGTTATTGGCTGGATGATCATGTCAAGACAAGGGCCACAGTTCAAAAGTAGGCACAAGGTGTTGGGTTGTCAAAAATGCACACATAATCAGAGACAAAAGCCAATCCCAGAAAGTCAAAAACTCACAATAACCCAAAACTCTACGAATCCATAAATAGCAGCATTAGTAGTCTCACCAGAAAACACGAACAAAGTATAATAGGTTGCTTTAATGTTTCCAATTTTTTATGATGAAGAGAAACCCCAATACCCTTTTGATTTCGAACATTATAACCTCACTTGTGTTTGATAACGCCCCATACAAACCAAATCACCAGACTTAGCTTAGTTTTCAGATATGCTTGATTGATTCTGGACAAAAGATAGTTGGGTTTGGAGGACATTGCTGGCAACGAAATGTCGGTCTCCTTTTTTGCCACTTGATGACTTCTTTGGGGACAGTGATAAGCGTCGCGGAGAGAGAAGTAGGGCCGGTCCTAATCTTTAAGAATTATAGAAAAGATTTGAATATTATTTTACCGGAATCAGGAAGTTGTAAGAATTGAATTTGGAGAGTTTGTTAGGTTAGTTCGTTCTCCATAGTAACAAAGGAAGATTTGGTTCATATGGGAAACAGACGGACGCAAGAGTAAGTTTGGCAGATGTGTGAGGTGAGCCTCTTCCCAATTCATTTGTGAGTCAATCTCGCACAATACACTTTAACCAAAAGATGAAGGGAAGGGGCAACATTCTGTAAATAATGTTTATGTAAAGTTGCAAACATTATATGTAAAGGATGGAGTACTATACCATTTGTTACGAAAAAATATTCCTGCATAATAACAAGTATACGGTATACCAAACCCCAGCCTATGTGCACTAGTGTGGAGATATGCTGGGTGGTAGTACACCATTTTTTTCAATGTTTCATGAAATCAGGGTAAGAAAGTACTAGAAACAACATATCAACAATCATGAGTCGATCATGCCACAAGAAAGGGTTTCGGGTGACCAGATTTACTCAGTCTTATCCTTTGCTAGTCCAAAACAATACAGAGATCAGTTTCGACAGACCCACATAAATCATCTAATAGGACAAAGTAGGTAAATATTTTCTCATAAAGAAAATAACAACAAAAACAGTGCAGTAATATAAGTTTATAATTCATGTACAAATATATTCCATCAAAAACTAGTAGAAGAATTTTATCATACCTTGGATCAGGCACCCAATCAAGACCATAAATGAAACGTTGTGAAGGATTTGCATCCCACAAAGGCCGGAACGGATCACTGCAGGTAAATAGAAGAAGTACTCACGGGTTAATTAGTTGTAGTATATATGAGAACTTGAGAATCCAATGGCCAGAATTAAACAATGACCCCAAGGGAAAATTTGACACAATATCTCTCCTATTTTTTCCCTATTTGGAGGGATGTGAAAACTGAATTAGGAAGGTGCACTTTAGACCCACAATATGGTAGAACATACACGCTATCACAAAATTTCTTTCTACCATTATTGCAAAATGAAGAACTTAAGTTTGAAGTTGCTACATTACCGCAAATCCCAGAACTTCAGCCCTCCATGCCCAGCAGTGACAATAATATTTGAGCTCTCTGGGTCACTAAAAATGAAAGTGAAGATGAAAATGAAGTTAACATTAAGAAACAATAAACAAATTCACGGCACATGATAACAAAAGAAAATTAAATTTTTTTAAAAAAAATTGTTTCATTAAACCAGTATGCTTCTAATATATTGCGAAGTCACTTGTTAAATTCTGATCAAGTGTGTCATGGAAACAAGTCAAACAACGTTTCTGTTATTGCTCATCAATATAAGTGGTTCAGCTTTTGTCTCAATTAAAGTAATCACTGCCCATCTCTACAAAACTACAATATTTATCCTGCTTTCACTAAGAACGAAAAAAATTTATATCAATCGAATACACTTACCCTTCAAATGGGGCCCAAGTAAGGGCTCTAATAGGACTTGTCTCTGCACTAAAGCACAACAGAGGTCTGATATCTGTAGAGAAAAGCAGTGTTACAATGCAAACAGGAAGGTGAAACTAATTAATTACTAGCTAAGTCCCCTAGCTAACTTAGCCCTATTGCGGCAAACTTAAATTGCAAATTTGAAAAATAATTATATTTTCATTTGAAATTAACGAGGGAGGGAAAGGAAATGATGAGAGGAGCCTAGGTCAATCACTCATAGTAACTGTACCTTCAGATTGAACATCTACTGAAAACTTCCACAAAGCAACCTGCAAAAAGAATTAGAATTAGATGCATCAATAATAAGAACATACCAATAAATAAATAAAAATTTAAAAAAAAAAAAAAAAAAAAGAACAGGGGGGTGCAGTAATCATCTATTCCTTTAGGAGAGACTTGCAGGATAACTAAAAATCGTAATCAACCAATTCAGCGCCATCAATTACAAAATTTAAGGGGGCCTTTGAGAGAGTAAATAGAGAGTTTATTATAATGAGGTGAATGCCTAGTCATGACATGTAACACAAAATTGACTATATTCCTACCACTCCATCATGACATCCAGCCAATAAAAAATCGTGTGGAGGGGAAGCCGACCATTCCACAGTCAGAGGCATACTGCAAATTTGACAATAGTTAAACACAAGTTTCCAAAAAAAGCAATGGACATGAGAACAAATACACTTAAAAGTTGTATATCGTAAATAATGATGATTGATGACTAATAAATGTCAAGCAATATATATAGCAAAAACATCATCTATCAACAACAATAACTAGCAAGCTTGTTTACAGTCTACAGATGTTCTAATTTACAGAAATATAGAAAGTTATCAAATACATATCATGACACAATCCCCTTTGACCCTCATAGCTACAGTACACATTGGGTCTATGCATGAATGATTGATGCGACCAGATTAGTCAGACTTTCTCTATCCACCTACCCAGAAAATATAATTGATACGAAGTGAATGATACAATAAAATCAGAATAGGTCACATAGCTAAACTGGTTTGCATCACTTTTTATAATTCATACAATTTTGGAAAACGGAGGTTCAGTTAGCTATATGTGGTTACAAAAATCATGAACCTCCGATCGTTAGTGTCCAAAAGCATTTCTAAGATCTTATACATTCATAAAAATAAAGAGCATTTCGTTCTCCAGCTGTGCAGCAAAACAAACACAAGACAATGAAATCGTTACTCATTCAATACTGTTGTAGATCATAACATTAACATAAAAAGCTCTCGTGTCTCTCAAAGCCTAGATCTCAAGAGACATTTTTGAAGAAAATATATAAAGTAAAAAAATCTCAGCATCCATATAAAATTTCTAAGCGGTCCACAGACACACACACATCAGGTGTAGTTTACCTCTGTCTAACACCATACTTCAATATTGAGCATCGAAATACAGGCTTCAATTTAGCAAAACGAGGATCTTGAGGATCTGGGCCTTTTGCATGTCGAGATGCATAAATACGATTAATTACTTGAGGAGAAGGAATTTCCCACCTGCAAATGTATGTAAGAGATGTAACTAAAACAAGACTATGCTGAAGTAAGCAGCTTTAGAAGTTATGAAAAAGGAGAATGTTACAACACAACATCAGGCGTTCAAGAGGCACAATGCATATAAATTAGTGTAAAACCGAGTTGATTATCAATACTGCGGTGTCATATTAACACAGCAACACACAGAAGAATTTACTATGTGTTTGGTAAGGCAGACACTTAAGACAAGGTTTCTAGAATGCAGTTCATGATAAGAGAATATGACATGAACTAAACATAACCTAACACAGATATCACAAGCAGGGATTTGGCCACAATCAACTCATTAATTACTGAAATCCACTGATCAAAATAATATATGAAGTAGTAATTTCAAATTGTAGAAACTTTTGCCAGCTCAACAACTATTTCTAGACTAGAGTTATGTACTCCAGCATAAGTAAAGCTTTTATTATAGATCCATATCCACCCTACCGTTTTTTTTTTTTTTTTTTTTAGAAGAGAACAAGGGGAACAACATTAGAACAACTACTTTCTCAAATCAACAGGAGGTCAATTTTCTATGTTCATTTAGTTTAGTCAAAATCTTTTCTATAATTCAAGTTGGCTGGCTGTTAACCAATTACAATAATTCTTAGCTGGCACACTGACTGAACTGATAAGATTCAATTGTATCAAACCTCCAGGGGAATTGACTTTATTAATAATATACATTATTTTTTAATTTTGCAAGCTACCAAACCATTCTTATTGGGCATTTTCAGCACATCAACCAATGGACATAGTCATATGCTCATATCAAGCTTTCTAGTTTGTTAAAGAATCAAGTGCCACATCAATTATAAGCCTTTAACTACATTCAATTTTAGTTAGGAGTGTAGTCAGTGAGCATCAAAACTTCTCAATAGGCCTATTGTTCATTGAACACGCAGCTCTTTAATGCGTTGTCTTGATATATTCAAATTGACACATGCAAAATTAAATTCTGCTGAGGGGCAACTATTTTTTTTCTTGCCTGTGCTCACTAGCTATGTTCAAAGTTGCAGATCTAGAACTAGACTTAAACACTTGCCACTGATAGGGAAGAAGGGACCACCCATTACAATCACCAAGAACTCAAAAAAGTTGCACCGTGATACTGCATGTCTTAACATTTGTGCAAACCAAACAAAAGAATGGCAGGGGAGATAATATTAAAGAATTGAGATATAGCCTGATTTCTAAATGCTATAAATAAATTGAAGAATCTCAAAGACATCACTAAACTCTATAAGCAGATGAGAAGGAGATATAAGATACTTACACTTCCACAGATCCATTCCCAAGAACAACAGCAAGATAGCCCATCCTATGCTCGTTAACAGACTCATCAGCATTAAGGGGCCGCCATTTCACATCCCATGCAACTTTTCCATCATGACCCAGGCACAAGACAACTCTAGGAAGAACATCATCTTTTAGGACATGACTGTCACCGAAACCAAGATAACTGTCACCCATGACATGTTCTTTCGATACCATATTGTCTTTTTGACAGAGATTTTCTTCTATGCTTGCTAAAGAAGGTCCTTTGCCCAAATTTTCTGTTGGCAACCCAATGTTGTCATGATCTAAGTTATTACATGTTTTTGACTTGTTTCTAGACCTTCTCCTCAACACTGCAAGAGTGCAATCCAGATCAGTTCCAAGTACTCTTTTACTGGTACGCCTTTTACCTGTTTCTTCAAGAGGCCCTGAAGTATTCAATAAGATATCTTCAGTTGGGGATACATTCTTCATACTTTCTGGAATTTCAGTGGCAAGAACTTGAAAAGACAGCCCTTCGGAATTGGATATTCCAGCATTTTCATTCGTTATAATATTTTCATTATGAACATCTTTCCTTTTTCTTTTCTTTACTTTCTTTGCACAAGGGTCACTGACTATATATTCATCAACAGGAGGCACATTAAATGGCTCTGGAAGCTGAACAGCAAGAGCTGGAATAAACTGGCCTTCAGAATCTTCAATTGAGGAACTACTTATTGGATTTTTTCTAGCTTTTCCTCTGGGTTTCTTTTGTTTATTTTCTTCCTTTGAAACCACAATATTTTGATGTTTTTCTTCTGATTGACTAATGGGAGTTAATATGTCCTGGGAGGAGTGAGAGCTCAGCATGGTATTTTCTGGAAGCTGCACAACAAGATCTTTACTGATCTGCATTTCAGGATCAGTGGCAGGTTTCTCTATTGGATTCTTTCTAGGTCTTCCTCTAGGTGTTACAGGTTTACTGACATTAATCTCTCCCTTCTTTGCAGCTTTATTTGTTTGATATTTCCGTTTTATGCTCCCTGCAGAAGCTTGCATAGCTTCCTTTTCTGTAGAATTTAATAGACACCAAATCTGAATCATCCCTCGTCCATTAAGGGGATTTCCTAGCTTGTGATATGTTGAATCGGGAGGATGGGCAGCAACAGCAAGAAACTGAGAGACAAGAAAACAAAAAGGAAATGAGCCCTGTATAAGAATGAGATATTGAGAATAACATTGTACTCAACTTATGGGACTTGAGATTCCTGAAAAACCATGGCATGGTGATTGAAAATCTTTTCAATGTTTTAGTGCTCCACCGGTCCACCCTCACTTTTTTAAGTTTCATTTAAAGAAATACGCCATAAAATTAGTAGTTTAGTTTAATGCATGGGAGCAGAAAAGACGTGACTAAATTAAGCAGAGTAGTAGTTTTCTCAAACATTTTCATTTGCTTTCTTCACATTTGTAAAAAGACGTCACTGAATTAAACAGACTAGTAGTTTTCTCAAACCTTTTTCATTTATTTTCTTCACATTTGTTTTCCTTCCTTTTTTTTCCCCTTTCTTTACATCTCCTCTTAGCCCTCTTTCATAATATTTCTTCAAAATTTATTAAGTATCCTCATTTCCTGAGTTCCATCTATACTGCCCTTGTTTCTTGCTACATATGTTTTGTCTAACTTTCCAGTTTCCCACTTTTTAATTTATCTTCTTTGACTAGTCTGTTTACTTTTCTTGTTTCAATTATCGAGAGCAGCTTCATATGATGATTCATATTAGCCAACTCCAAATAATTTTTGAATTAGTATAACAGCCACAAGGATTCCTCATTGGCAACATACTATGATCGTTAAACTAGAATTGCATATATATTTGTCAAGCAAAAAGGATGAAACAAGAGGTGGAGAATGTAAACAAAGCAAAAACCTATAAAAAAATTAGTAGTTAGATCATAACATGCTTGCTTCCTACACATCAGTATAAACTGAGAGAAGAAAAAAAATTACAAAGAAATATTACAAAAAAAAGTAAATAGTAAATAGGAGGAACCATGCTATTACCTCACATTTTACACCAGATTCTATTCCTTGATCAGTCCTAGGACACCAATCCAATGACCAAACTAGTCCACCAACATATAATACAAAGTCTTTCCTGCAACAAGCTCAAATTTAGGGACAGCTATTGCATATGCATATTAAAATGCAACAAAGTATGAATATGTACATAAAGGATCTAAGGCATGCAAAAGGCACCAGATATACAGAGTATTGCTTTTATTGCTTTAAACTTGGAAACTATAGTGATTATGTTAGAGGCGTGCTAAAGCTCATGACTCGTAAATTGTAGTAGCTTCGAGTCTGATAAATATAAATTTAATGTCCAAATCTTCAATGTTATATAATACTTCCTCCGTTTCTATTTAGTTGACGCGTTTGATTTAAGCACATATATTAAGGAGAGAAGAGAGAGTGAGAGAGAGAAGGAAAAAGCAAGTGGGGCAGCTTGTAAATGCAAGGTAAAAAAGTTACCCCAAAAGGAAACGTGTCAACTATAAAAAAAAAACTTCCTAAAAAGGAATACGTGTCAACTAAAAAGAAACGGAGGTAGTATAAATAACACATCACTATGGAAAACGAAGTTTATATTTGAGTTTCATAAATACGGTTCAGTATTTTAATAAAGGACTGTAAAATCATCATACAAAAATGTACACCTCACTTTGCCTTGCCCCTCACCTCATATCTAAGCTCTAATAGTGCACTTCATGCCTTTTAAAACCAAGCAACTAGCAATTGTTAAGCTGTAAGTCTGTAAGTAAGAAGACTATGATATAGACTTGAGATATCTTTAATAATAAATATTTAACGTATGATCAAATAAAAAGCACTAGTATTACAAATTTTTCTGTGGTTGATGTCAATAAGAGCTTCATGTAATTCCTATATACTTCTATAAGTTAGCATATAACAAAATTTCAACCCATAGAACTGCACCAAAATAACATACTGGCTCGATTTTTTTTTCATTTAAGAAATACTTCTTAAGTCTCTAGAAAGTTGACGATTTGAAACTGTATTATGCCATTCACGCTCAAGTTCTATAACAGCCCAGATAGAAATTGCCTTCGGTGGGTCCACAAAGGTGCAAAAGCATGTGGTCTCACTCCTTCATTTAGGGTCAATGAGGAAGTCATATTAGGACAGACAAATTACAACAATACATGAGCATCATAAACAGCAAACCTGGAATCACTAGACAACACAGCACCAGGAACTTTATTCGCCTGAAATGTAAAAGATAAATAATTAAATGCAACATCAGGAAGTCATTGCTTGACAATGCAGTATGAAATTATTTTGCGAGCAAGGATTACCTCCGTATCACACTTTGGCACCGTAGCAGCTGAGAATTGAGATAAAGTTATCTCATTACAGGCTTTATCGCCATCAGGATGCTCAAATTCAGAATCAAACCGAATAGTTTTTGGTTTGTAATTGAAATACCTCCATTCACTGCACGCACACATATAAGGTTGGTTTCATTAAACAGGAACGTGGTATAGAGGAAGAAAGACATAGACAATGTGCATCAACCAATAAGCCAATTACTCAATCGCATCTCACCTACTCAAAACCCATATCACGGTCTCTAACTCGAAGCATAAGAATTAAAAAGAACAATTTAAGGCACTACACATTGTGTTCAATATGTCCACAAGTTGTCAAATTCTATCTGTTTCAATTCTCATAAATTCTATAATTAACAGAATATTCGCCAAAAAACATGTTAAATCCACATGCAACTATGGTACACAGACCCTCAATCTTAGCCACTCGGCCGAGTAATTAACACACATTATATAATTGCACACAACATCCTCCATCTTTCAATGTCAAGTCAATTTTTCTACACTAACAGTACAGAATTATTCACTTATTCCAAAAAATAATCTCAAATTAACCATAAAATTAGTCAATTGCATCATAATATATACACATAATTAAATTATCACCTGAGGAAAGTGATTGTCGATGCTAAGCGTTCAATTTCGGTATCAATGAAACTGGAATTTCCGCCTCGACCGCAAAGATTGTTGATTGAATCAATAAACCTAAAATGATTCTCGATTGAATAATCAAACGTTGAAACTTTAATTTCCGAATTATCGTCGGTAGAAGTAGTAGTCGTAGTTTGAGTAGTAGTGGAGTGATTGAAAGAAGGTTCTGGTGTTGCTGTAGTTTTTCTCTGTTTTCTGTTGGTTTTGTTTTTATCTACTTTGTTGGTTTTCTTTTTCCCTTTGCTTTTGGTTTTGGCTGAGATGGAGTCACTGAAGTCGGAGTCTAAGTCGGTGTCTATGTCGATGTCGAAGTCGAAGTCGAAGTCGGAATCCATAGCTAAGAGAGTGTCGGAGCTTGAAGACGAAGGACAAGGAGGTTGAATAGAAGGGTAAGAGAGGGAAACGGGAGAAAGAGAGTAATAATTCTAGCAAGTACAATGCACGGATTTATAAAATACTCCGTAAAATCTCGAAACTCTTACCCATATTCAACCTCAAGCCTAGCCATCCCTTGAAGAAATTGATTCATTGAATAATTTTTTCCTTATATTCATTGATATTAAGGGCTTGATGGTTTTCATGGGTATAAGGGTTGGAATTGGGCCGGTTTTTTTCTAAGTAATGGTGGGAATGGGGGTTTCAGCTCTGGGGATGGGGTTCGGCGGTGGAGGAGGGGCTGCCGAAGGTTGGGTTAGAACCTTAGGGTGTTCGTTGGGGCTGGCTGATGGGTTTTTTTAAAAAAAAAATAGATTTTTTTTTTGGCTATTTCACCAAATGCCACAAATTTAAAAATTCACCAAATGTCATCGGACTTTTCAGAATTCACCAAATGCCACTCATTTTTTAAATAATTCACCGAGTGTCATTAATGACTACAAGTCGTTAACTTCGTTAGTCATTAGGGTCTAATCATGACACATGTCATGATATGATTAGTCTATTTATTTTAATTCTTAAAAAATAAAATAAAATAAAAAAATTATAAAAAAAAAACAAAAAAAAACCCAAATTTTCCCAGCCACCTTCCCACCACCGCCAAACCCTAGCCCCCTCCCCTTTTCTCGCCAGAAAACAGCCGGCCACTCCCTTAACCACCAAAAAACGGTCGATCGACCCTTAAGCACTCCACCTAACCCACCGTCGACCCCCAAAACCACCCACACAACCTGCCCCGACCCCAAATGCCACCAACATAAACTTTGATTTAAACACCCATCGTTTTCCAACCACCGCGGAAAACCACTCCTCATATCCTCCACCCTTGAAACGATGAAATCGGCCTAGAAATTGACCATTGTAGATTTCCATGGTTGATTTCGGTCGTTTGAGGGTGAAGGGTTTCCACAGTCGGGTTCTATTTTGGATTTCTGGGTTTCCATGGTCGGTTGTGGTGGCTATGTGATGCGTCATGTTGGTGTGTGAGGTGGTTGCGGGGGTTGGGGTGGGCATCACCGCAAGGTCGTCGGGTAAGCGGAGTTTTGTGGGTCAGTGTGTGGGTGCTGGAGTTTTTGGGCATTGCGTGAGATGGTTGCGGTGGTTGGGGTGGTTTTTCGGGGGATTAAGAGGAGTCTACGGTTTTAATGGGGTCAAAGGGTTCCAGCGGGACGTCATGGGTTCCGACGGAAGGTTAGAGGGTTCCGGCAGGAGGTCAGGGAGTTCCGGCGGTTGGCTTTGGGCCGTCGGTTGACTTTGGGTCGTGGGCAGGTGGTTACGGTGGTGGGGTTGGGTTGGGTTAGGATTTAGAGTTTTTTTAATTTTATTTTATTTATATTTTTTAAACCAATAATCGATTGTCATGTGTCATGATTAAGCCTCCGTTAATCATTAATGGCACTCGATGAATTATTTAAAAACTGAGTGGCATTTGGTGAATTCTGAAAAGTCCGATGGCATCTGGTGAATTTTTTAATTTGTCAGTGACATTTGGTGAAATTTCCGATTTTTTTTAATTATTTTTTTAATATAGTGATACATGTCACTCAAATTATATATATAAAAAAAAAAAAAGTTAACCCAATGTTTAGATGGTGAACCGGTTAAAGGTGGGATTATTAGAATCAATTTTTCCTTTTAAATAAATTAAAAAAAAGTAGAGCATTTTGGAGGGAAAATTTTGCACAAAATCATGTCAAGTGTCTCTTCCGATGATTACTTTAGTACGAAGTATATAGTATAGATGAAAATGAAGATAATATACGTTTTTGAGACAGTAAAAATTCGAGTAGGGCAAAAAAAACGAAGGGAGTACAAGTCTATAGTATGACTCTTCTAGGGGGTACTAAACCACGCCTTTTGGTAGCGTCATTGTTTCCTCAAACTCGTTCATTCAATGCTTGTATTAATTGATTTTTTTTTTAAAGAAGTCCCAAAGGACATTAAATTTCATCAAATAAAGACATTTGCCATCTACAATTGACAATTAACAATAATGAAAACGAATTTAACATAATCAAACAAGAATTAATCGGGGAAGGGCTAAGACCTAAGAATTTAAATACATAAATATAACAATTCGGCACATTCTCAATTCGTTGTCTCATACAACTTTTTCAGTGAATCCGTCGTCGCTTCACAATTTTGTGAGAAAGTTAATTCTTGTGCTGATTCCGTAACCTGAATTCGAGCCATAATCAATCGTAGCCCCGCACAACCGGAGACCAAATTAAACACAAATAAAACTTTGTCTTTCGAAGGAATCCGAAAAAACCTTGTCTTACGAAGGAGATCGAATAAACCTTGTCTTTCAAAGGAGATAGACCCTTTATTTTGAGGGAGACATTATTAATGTAGCCTAAGAAACAAAAAACTTAAAAGAAAATAAAGATTGGGGCTTTCTACCCGTGAAATCTGATAGAAGCTCCTTAAAAATTGACAACGGGGGCTAAAGTTTGGGAGAGAGAAGAGAGACAAAGGAGGCTAAAAAGAATTTGCTTGTGTTAATTGTTGAAAAGTAAAGCTTTTTTTTTTTTAAAAAAATTATGACATGGAGCGGTAGATGATGGGTGGTGGTTGTTCAGTTGATGGTGGGACAACAAGTTAGAGTCTACAGAGTAGTTTAAGGAAATGGAAATGAAATACAAGTATGATATATTTATACGGGCAATTCACCTCTTTTACTCTCTTGGCTTAGTTCTCTCCACCTTATTTTTTTGAACTAAAGTTTAATTTTGCTGAGAAATTGAACGTATTACTTATTAAACACAATAAAACTTATTAGTTTTATATTAGTTTTTGAAATATTGATTTTTATGGCAGGACGTTTTATGTGCGGTTGGCTACACCATGTGACCGCTTGTAAAATAACAAAGTAACCGTTTGTAATATAGACCAACTAACTCCTGTAACACTAATTGAGTAACCCTTGTACCACTGACCAAGAAACCCCATTACCCTCATGATGGCCAACTACATGTATGAATATATGTTTTTATGGATTAAAACTTATTTTTAATGGGCTAAAATTTTTTTTTACTAACTATAACTTATTTTTAGTGTATTGAAATTATTTGTAATGAATATTATATCGTATTATTTTAAGGGGAACATAATAGGGTCTTACTCCGGCCTCCGGTCATTTAATTTGGAATGGCTAGTTAATTGTATGGATTTGAATTCTTTTAATAAAAGTTTTTTACTTTACATTACATTTGATTTCATTTGAAAGTTTATTACAATTTATTGGGTGTTCCACCAGGTTCACCTTTTGGCTAAATTAAGATTCAAGCTCAATTTCTGGGTAATTAGGTTTCGCCCTCCCTTCTTCAATTGTTGTTGCAGAGGATTGAACATGCGATCCTCCCTACCAATTATGTGCAACTCATATCACTAGTTCATCTCTGCACAAACATTAAATTGGTAGAAAGTTTCGTACAAAGAAATTATGCAAGTCTCTATTAAATAAGTGAAGGGAGAGCTTCTTGTTATAAAAAGGCCACAATACCCCTTTTCTTTTAAGCTCCCTTCTTTTTTATGTTCTACTAATTTGTATTTTGTGCGTATTCTATCTGAGCCTAATGCATTATGGGCACGAGTGCTACGAGCAAAATATTGTAAAGGAAGGTGCGATGTGGATATGTTTAAAACTAAAGCTAATATGTCGAATATATGGAAAGGAATCTCTGAAAATGCAAAATATATCTCAGCAGGCTCAAGAGTTGCTTTGGGAAATGGATCGTCCACTCTCTTTTGGGACCATAATTGGGCGATGCCTAGCCCTCTTAGAGCAGCTGCAATTGATAATATTCCGAAACAGCTAGATGGGGCAACGGTCGAAGAATTATGGGATGAGGAAAGTGGTTGGAAATGGGATCCCTTCGCTGAACTCCTCCCCCCTGATGTGTTAAGACTAATTGAGGCTCATGCCTTGAGAAAAGATAACGATGTGGGTGATCTGTTATATTGGAATGGGGGATTAAAAGGAAAATTTTCTATAAAATCTGCAATGAAAATCATTCGACGAGATGATGACCCTGGTAATGATGGCACTTGGAGCCTAATCTGGAAGCTCAAGGTTCAACAACGAGCTAAAGTTTTCCTTTGGCTAGCAATGCACGATCGACTCATGACTAATGCTAATCGTTTGAAGCGCAATCTCACTAATTCTCCTTGGTGTAAAACTTGCAATGATTTTGAGGAGACTATAATTCACGTCTTAAGAGATTGCAAAGCGGCAAAGGAGGTTTAGAGACAAGTTGGAGGCCCAGCTGCTACTGTCAACTTCTACCAAGGATCATTAAAGCAATGGATTGGTTTTAACATCAAAAATCAAGTTTGAAGCAATCTTTCCCCTGAAGTTTGGCCAACCTATTTTGCCATAACCTTATGGTGAATTTGGAGGTGGAGGAACAATGTAGTCTTTGATAGAACCCAAGACATACCCTTCGATATAAATCAGTTTCTCCTTGCAAGGTTCGAAGAGGTGTGGCGTGTTTTGGGAGAAGATGCTCAAGCTAACTCTCAGCAAGCAAGAACAAGGAATGAAGCTTTTGTACGTTGGATAGAACCTCCTATAGGGTGGCTGGCACTCAACACAGATGGTGCAGCTAAAGGAGCCCAGTGGGGGGCTAATTCGTGACTATACTGATAAAATGCTTCATGCTTTCTCACTCAAAATGTATGTGATGCTTATATGGCTGAGTTGAAAGCTATTGAATATGGGTTGGAACTAGCACAACGAATGAATGCTATAAAGCTCCAGGTTCAAGTAGATAGCCAGTTGGTTGTTGCAGCACTAACTACTGAAGAAATTCACAGAGGCCAGGGATACCATATCATACGCCACTGCAAGCAGCTTATTGAAGATGCAAATTGGCAAGTCCAAATAATCCATATATACCGAGAAGCAAATCAAGCCGCAGACTGGCTAGCAAACCAAGGCGTCATCCAGAACAACAGTATCGAGTTGATTCAATTCCCTCCTATAGAATTAGGACGTATTCTACATGATGATATTGTTGGTGTGACCTTGCCACGTTTAATTCTTAGTTAATAGTTTGTTTTTCTTTTCTGGGGCTTAGCCCCTCGTGAGCACCAAAAAAAAAAAAAAAACTTGTATTTTGTGCTATCTTCAACACACATGCTTGTTCAATTATAACTTGATGTTATGAAAATATTATACGTAGTATTTAGATACTAAACATTGTAAGGATTCTAATAATATCACATACAATGAAGATAAAGTTATACGGAGTAATTTAAACAATCTGTATTATTAAGTATAGTTTGTAAAACCAACTTTCTATTCCTCTCTTCTCTCTCCTCCTTTCTCTCTCCAAAACCCTAGCCTCCATTGTTGAATTTTGAAGGGGCTTCCATCGATTTTAATCGGTGGAAAGCCCCAATCCTTGTTTCTTTATAGTTTTTTTAGGTTTATAATAATGCTTCCTCCTTTTGGAAGGAACTTTTCTCCCTCGAAAGAAAGGGTTTCCGATCTCCTTCGAAAGACAAGGGTTTTTCGACCTCCTTCGAAAGACAAGGTTTATCTCCTCTTTTCGAGGGAGAAATTTTTTAGTTTTGAATCCATGATAGTAGATCTAATGGATTATCGTAAAATTATTTCATTGGTGAAAAAGTTATCAAGTTTTCGAATACGGACAGATGAATCAGAAGGAAAACAACCTCACAGCTACAAAGGATCGTTAGATTGTCTCACCAACAAGGCTGTAATTTTCAGCGATATAAGCGGGAGATGCTCCGCAGTGCAAGATCTACTCGACGATCGTAGTTTTTATGAAGGAAAATTCTATATGATTCAATATCTTATGTATTTGTTAACGTCAAATCTCTATTGTAGATGTCGTATGACTTTTAATTAATAAAATATTTTTGCTATTAAAAAAAAAATTTAAACAATCTGTGAATATTTTACATTGTTAATTGATTAATCTTTCCTTTGTTTTCTTTGTTGATTGATTGATTTTTAAGAATATTTTTATTCTAATTACTATCTTGGTTTTTTTTTTCTATTCACTTTTTCTTTATTCAATCAAACTAAAAAACTCTAATTGTCTATTGCAGCTTATTTAAAAAATATTGATATCTTTGAACCTTTTGGCTTCCGAAAATACATTTAATATCAGAAATAGGGTTAAGATGGTATCGGGTTGGAACATGATACTTAATACCATGTGTTTGGTTCGATTCTGAAATGAAATATCATCCCCTTAATTTCATATATTTAATATCTAAAGGAATGGAATGAGCCAAACCCACCCCCTCCCCCCAAGGTTTCTAAACTCCATACCTCATGGGTTTGAGGTATGAGTTTAAAAATCATATTTTTGACAACCAAACATATGATATGGGTTTTGGTCATTCTAAACTCATACCTAATACCTATAATCCGCGAACCAAGCGCCCCCTTGGAATCAATCACTTAAAATAAGAAAAGGAGGAAATCTTAATAATTTGGAATTTGATTGCAGCTTTGTAATTAATGTTTTGTCTTTTCTTGTTTTATTTATGGTAATCGACTATAATTAAATTGCCTATAATAAATTTTAATTAGAAAATTTTCCATGTCAGCGATCCACTGACACATATATCAACCAATCAGAATTATTTGACTATTTAGACATCCAATTAGATAAACTATTCACGGATTATGAAAATTATTCAGCCGATAATAATGTTAGGAAATATTCTATATGGGTTTATCATTTTAAAACGCTCAAAATAGTACTACCTCCAGATCTTGTTATATTCGTCACGTTATATACTTTCAAAATATCAATTTTTCATAATTTTTTCTTATCGATAATTAAATATATTAAAGATTGAAGACAAATGTGACTAAAGAAACGTGTCAACTAAAAATAAACAGTGGACATATATGGGACTACAAAGTGAGACAGAGGGAGATTTTTTTTATCTGTACGAAATATTCTAAACTTAGGCCATTTTCACTTCACCTTAAAAAAATAATATTAACTAAAAATAATTTCAGTTCACTGAAAATAATTTCAGTTCAGTAAAAATAACTTCACTTCAGTAAAAATAACTTTAGTTCAGTAAAATTCAGTTTTCTTAAAAAAAGAATCATAATAGAAAAATTCAAGTTTAGCAATTATAATTTTGTTTTGGTAAAAATATTTTTTTAGCTAAAATAAGGTGAAATGAACGGGACCTTAGGCTTTATTATTGTCCGAGCAAACCCTAATAAACCTAATTATTCTCGTACTCCGTACCCTATATATATATATATATATATATGATTCTCTCTAATTCCCTTTGCCACTTTTACTTCATACGTAGTAACAACAACAAAATCAAACATGGAGCACAAAATTTTCAATTAAAAATACTCGTAATCATGAATCTCCGACTTCTCTCACTGTTTCACTGTTTTCCGGCGTCACCTCCTCTCCACCGCGTCTCACTCTCATCACCGCCTCACACCCCAACACTCAACAAGGTTACACACGAAGTACGTAATTTTAATTTTTTTTTTAAACTTTTTTTCTGGCATGTTTGTTTAGATTAAGTTTCGTTTTTTGTTCAAATTTCTATACATGTTAGAATTTTTCTATTAAAGTTTCAATTTTGTTTTTAATAATTGTTCAATGTTTTAGTTTATTTATTGTATTTTGTGTTTACAAATTGTTTAAATTATCGAATTATTTGTGTTGATTATTATTTGATCATGAATATATACGAAGTATGTAATATTGTTATACATCAATTCTATAATTAGAGATAGTTAACTAAAAAACCCTAACAAAATTGAGAACAATGAATGAATTACAGCATTAGCAATTGATTTTTAACGAAATTGACTAAAACATAATTACAGAGATGTGTGTAAGAGAAATAAAGTGAATAAAAGGCTTAGTTAATAGAAATTTGTATTATTGTATATTTTAATTGTTTTTTATGTTGCAAATTTGTGATTATTTATCTTAAAACACCTAAAGTCTTGAATTATTGGTGTTTAGGGAAAATTCAAGTTGATCTTCATAATAAACAACAATTGTTTATCAATTGGCAACATTGTAAATAAGTTCACAATTGTTTATCTAGTGGCAATTCAAGTAACGGGTTTGCCTATGTTCTTACGATTTACCCCTAGATAGACATAAACCGTTAATCATAAAGATCATTGGGGCTCCCTCCATCTTAAATTGGGATCAATTTAGCATTCTGGTGTATTATTGAAGTTTGCGTTATACATGTTGATGATCTGGATAGTGATAAAAGGCTTAAGCTGTGGGAAACAATTTAAATGGATGTTTCATATGGATGTAGCTGTGTTTTTCATAACTTTGCCTTACCCTTAGTAATGAGGTGACGATTGTTCAGGTTGTTGAGTATGGCTCGAAAAGGACTCATGGAACAAGACTTGAGCAAGTTGGATGTAACAAAACTACATCCTCTTTCACCTGAGGTCATTTCTCGTCAGGCTACCATTAATATTGGTAAAATACATTTGATCACAAATGTACTTTGAGAATTGCATTGTTTATCTTGTAAATTTGAAATATTCTCTTCATAATATTCATTATTACTCCGTATATTTGTAGGAACCATTGGTCATGTGGCTCATGGAAAGTCGACAGTTGTGAAGGCTCTGTCTGGTGTTCAGGTACATCTCTGCTACTTTATACATGGTTTTGATGGGTGTTGACTTAATACTGAAATTTATAGCCTGATTATGATGGTTTAACATGAGTAAAATATTTTCTAGTCTCTAACACATTGCATTTTAGCCAAAAATAGACGAAGCATGTATGAGCTGATCATTTGTATTTGTCTTTACTCTATATATTAATGTTATTGAAGCAGTGAAGGTTATTCAGTTATTCTTGATGTTAACTGGGATGTTGTTTGTTTTGTTTTGTGTTCTTTCCTATTATGCAGACTGTACGATTCAAGAATGAGCTTGAGCGAAATATCACTATCAAACTTGGCTATGCTAATGCCAAAATTTATAAATGTGTTGACGAAAGATGCCCTCGACCCATGTGCTACAAGTATGATCTCTTTTCCTTTGACATCTATTATCCTCTCTCGTATTCGGAACTTATTAGCTCAACAATCATAAATTGATAGATTCTTGTTGTATAACTAGTAGAGAACTAGAGATGGCACCCTATGTAAACACCTATTCTCTTGCGGTTGTTTGTTGAAGATGTGATTTATCCTAAAGTTTATTTTTTATGTGTTGCAATTTTGGATTTGCTGGTGACATACTGGCCAAACTGTTTTTGCAGGGCATATGGAAGTGGGAAGGAAGATTCCCCAATGTGTGATGTACCCGGATTTGAGAATGCTAGGATGAAGCTTTTGAGACACGTGTCCTTTGTCGATTGCCCGGTAATCTATTGCTGCTACTAGGATTTTGTGTTCGTAACTTTGGTTGATTTTTAGTTCTAGAAGTTGAGTGTTGTGTTGACCTTATGAATTCCTATTTGTTTCGTTTCTCAATTTTGAGTCTAGTGTTGCTTGGGACAAGCAACAATATAGCTTGGGAGAATTTGATTAATCATGTTTATGTAGGACATTTTGGGTATATTTAGTTTGTATTTATAGTTTAGTTGTATGCTTTTATGCTATGAATTTTATCTTTGTTGGAGCAGTCAAACTTTATTTTTTCTTGCCATGTTCTTCTAGAAAATTAGAAAAAAAAATCTTATATTATTGAGGCATGTGGGAGCTCAATGGTAAATCTCTAATATCCCAACCTTAAAGTTACGAATTCAATTCTCATATCCCAACCTAGTTTGGGTCCTACCCCTCCTCTAGCCTCATTTGGGCTAGTATATGTAGACTAGGTAATAATTAGTCTGAATTTTGCTTAAGGAGGTGGAGCTAAATTAGCTAATTTTAAAAAGTATTGCTTAACAACTACAACCTTTGCACTTTCTCGACGTTGATTTGGCACACTAGTGCCCTTTTTCTAAATTACTGACATCAATATTGCTGTTTATTGAAGATTGTATAGCATGCTATGTTATAAGTGGATTATCTCTAGCCTTAGACCTTGAGCATCTCCATTTTATACCAGTTTTGTGTGATTTATGCATGTGAAATTCTTAATGACAGGGTCATGATATTCTGATGGCTACTATGCTTAATGGAGCTGCTATTATGGATGGGGCCTTGCTTCTTATTGCTGCTAATGAGAGCTGCCCCCAACCCCAGACTTCTGAGCATCTTGCTGCAATTGAGATCATGCAACTCAAGCATATTATCATCCTCCAAAATAAAGTTGATCTTATCCCAGAAAATGTTGCTTTGAACCAGCATGAAGCTATTCAGAATTTTATTCAGGTAACTTGTTTAGAATGTTGAACTTGTAGAGTTGTAGACCATGACCCAAATTCATTTAATTGGAAGGCTGAAGCATATTTCTGACGCGGCCTTGTTTTCTTTAGGGAACTGCTGCTGCTGAAGCCCCTGTAATTCCAATTTCTGGTCAATTGAAGTACAACATCGATGTTGTGTGTGAAAACATTGTCAAAAAGATTCCTATCCCTGAGAAAAATTTCGTCTCACCACCAACTATGATTGTAATTCGGTCTTTTGATGTTAACAAGCCTGGGTATGAAGTTGATGATATACATGGTGGTGTTGCTGGTGGAAGTATTTTAAAGGTTGCCTTCTTTCTTTTTATAGTAACAAATTTAATGAGATTTACTGTCTTATCAATTGTTGGCTGGTGATTTTGTTTCGGCATCACTGTTTCTTGATTTAGATGATAGTGCTGGAAGTAAAATATAAAAATATCTTGTGTGCAGGATGGCATTGGGGGGTTCAGGGAGGGTTTTGGAAAACTCATATTTCAATTATCATTATGCAAAATTTTCAATCCAATTGTCCTTTCCAATATTATGTATCCACTCTGCTTTGCATTCACAACCTATTGATAATCTGACCGTACTACTAATATTACCATCAATTAGTCAGTATTCTGGAATGTTGAAAAAAAAAAAAAATTTGGTCTTCTGCTGGATTTTATGACACTAATTTGTTGCTAAAGTTAGAAATATCATATAATGATTGGAAGCCTTTGGTTCAATCCTTTTTTTATAAGTTAATATTTGATACTATGCAGTGTTACTGATTATATCCCTGCCCTATGTCTTCTCATTATAGATCATTAATATTTCAAATGACAACCTGAAGCTAAGCTACTTCATCAGCAAAAGTTTGTTTTGAGATTTGTGCAATTGTTCTTTGATTTGATTTATATATTCATTGAGGAAAATAGGTTGCAATTCTAAATGTAGGCCTTTCGGAATTAGTAATAGACAATATCTTTGTGATACTTTTGAGAAATCTTCTCATTATATTCGCTATTGTATGCAGGGTGTCTTGAGGGTGAACCAAAATATTGAGGTTCGACCTGGAATTGTTGTGAAGGATGATAGTGGCAATATTAAATGCACACCCATATACTCCAGAATTGTTTCATTGTATGCTGAGCAAAATGAGTTACAATTTGCTGTGCCAGGAGGTCTTATTGGGGTTGGAACAACCATGGATCCCACTTTAACCCGAGCTGATAGATTGGTGGGTCAGGTACTCGGGGAGGTTGGGTCTCTTCCAGATGTATATGTTGAGCTAGAGGTAATATTTTTTTGCCCTCATAGCATAAGAATATGTTCTTCACTGTTCCCTGTGCTTGGACCAATGTTTTTGTGAGTGTGACTGTGTATGTCTCCAGGGTGCTAGTAGCCTTTGTGGGCAATATCTTATGATATGACAGGCATAAAATTTTTCCATTTGGATTCCGTTATCATTTATGAATTTCGAGAATATTTGAGCTATTTCTAGCTCATCTTTTTGTCTTGTGGTCAACTTTCAATATCATGTTCACCGCACTCCTGCAGAGTACCAATCACCATGTTTTTCTTACATTTTTTTTTTTCACTATGGAATGTATTCTGGATTGCCTAGAATCCACTTGGGTACATAGGTGCCTTAAGATGGTGCAGGTGTAAAGCTATGTTCATATTTGGATGTTTTACGAGGGGGCGAGGGGGAGCTCTGCTCTACCAGCAATATTTCATTGGCTGACTGTTTAGTTACATTCTTATTCTTCATTTGCTATTGCTGCTACTGAAAACAAATGTGTTTTATCATCCACAACTTTGGTACAGCTTTAACATATCTTAAAACTCCTTTATTATATCTTTGTTAGATTTTTGGTTTTGAGTTGACTCTCTATGCTACAGGTGAATTTCTTCTTGCTTGGACGGCTGATTGGTGTGAGAACAAATGGGACTGAGAAACAGGGAAAGGTGACAAAACTGAAAAAGGGAGAGATTGTTATGTTGAACATTGGTTCCATGTCGACTGGTGCCCGTGTAATTGCTGTCAAACATGATGTGCATTTGGCGAAGTTGCAACTTACATCTCCAGTTTGCACAAGCAAAGGAGAGAAAATCGCCTTGAGTCGGCGGGTTGAGAAGCATTGGCGACTTATCGGATGGGGACAAATACAAGCTGGTGTTACCCTTGAGATCCCACCTTGTTCTCTCCGTGCTTGAAGTTAACAAGTGAGAAAGAGAAATAGACAAGATAGCTAAATAATAGAAGTTCCGCGGAAATGGTTTTAATTTGGGTACAATAAATTGAGATGCTTTACTTTTTTTTATTTTTTATTTTTTTTTTTATTTTTTTTTTATTTTTTTACATATTTCAAGATTATTATATTTTCACCTGATGGCTGATGCTATTTAATACTCCCTCCGTCTTTTTTTAAATGCATCACTTTAATTTTTGCACTATTTACATACATAGTCCTAAATCTGCTAGTAATTCAGCTAGTTCATGTGCCATATTGTTATTTACTCTTCTTAACTCTATAGTATCAAGCATGACCTATAAGGATAAAGCATCCGTTAAACTTCAATTCTCTTGAATTTGAGCTCCTTAGCAATCGAAATTCCTTCTCTAACAGCAAGCAATCAATGGTTCATGGAGGCGGATGTACTATTTTCCAAGCCCCTTCTTAGTTCTTAGGTCCCCAAAACTCTTAACAAACACAATCAGTGGTTTATGGAGGCGGATGTACCATCCGTTCAAAAAAAAGAAAAAAAAAAAGCGAACATTTTATAGAAATGTAAAGAACAATTAGTTAAAGTGAAAATAACATTTAGTTAAATTGAAAAGAACATGGTATATAATTGTAAAGAACATATATCTAAAGTGAAAAAAAAAAATATTGTTAAAATGTAATGAATGTGATAAAAGAACATGGGAGATATAAAAAAAGAACATAAAGCTATTAACTATTATGAAATATATAGAAATTAGAGGATTAAGAGAAGAAGGTAATAAGAGAAGTATTACTACTTGTATGTATTACTCTTGGTAATATTTTTGTGTACATCATACAAGTGAAATTGCATGGTTATTTATAGTAGTAAGAATCACTATTACATTGTGGGCTATAACCTTAGAGGGTGGCAATTAGGGTTGGCTACTACATTTAATGCAATGAAGAAATTGGAGTGTGGACATTCACACCTTGACTAAATTAATTAACTCTTAACACTCCCCCTTGAATGTCCATACAAAATAGGGTATATATTGCCTCGTTAAAACCTTGCTAGGTAAAACCCTTTAGGATAAAAGCCATAGCTAAGGGAAAAGGGTACAACAATATATTACTATATGCTTTAGTGTACTGTCTCATTAAAAACCTTGTCAGGAAAAACCCATTGGGATAAAAACCTGATCGAAGGGAAAAAGAGTGCAGTGCATATAATGCTCCCCCTGATTTTAACATAGTTTATGAAGATGACGCATTCCAATCTTGTGGACCAACCGCTCAACACTCTTCGATGGTAGGGACTTTGTAAACAAGTCTGCAAGATTATCATATGATTGGATCTGTTGGACATTTATCTTCCCTTCCTTTTGCAAATCGTGTGTAAAGAACGGTTTTGGGGATATATGTTTAGTCCTATCACCTTTGATATATCCTTCAGTTACTTGTGCGATGCATGCAGTATTATCTTCGTAAATGATGGTTGGGCTTTCAGTTACTTCTTTCATCCCACATTCTTCTTGGATATTACCGATCATTGACCTTAGCCATACACACTCGCGTCCTGCTTCATAAAGGGCAATCAACTCAGCATGATTTGATGAAGTCACAGTCAAGGTCTGCTTTGTTGATTTCCAAGATATTGCAGTTCCACCATAGGTGAACAGATATCCAGTTTGTGACTTGGCATTTTGTGGGTCTGATAGATATCCAACATCTGCATATCCGATGAGGGTGGCATCTTGCCTTGATTGATAAAGCAAACCAAGATCTTTCGTTCCTCATAGATATCGTAGTAAGTGTCTTACTCCTTTCCAGTGTCTCTTCGTTGGTGCGTTGCTAAACCTGGCTAACAAATTCACAGAAAAGGCTATATCGGGTCTAGTATTGTTAGCTAGATACATTAGAGCCCCAATTGCACTCAGATATGGTACTTCAGGACCAAGGACATCTTCGTTTTCCTCTCGAGGTCTAAATGGATCATATTTCATAGTCAAAGACCGAACAATCATCGGGGTGTTTGTTGGGGTCGCTTTGTCCATGAAAAAACGTTTTAACACTTTTTCAGTGTAGTTAGACTGATGGACAAAAATACCATCATTTAAGTGCTCAATTTGCAATCCAAGACAAAATTTAGTTTGTCCAAGGTCTTTCATCTCAAATTCTTTCATCAAGTACTTTGCAGTTCTTTCAAGTTCATTTGGAGTTCCAATGATATTTAAGTCATCAACATAAACCGCAACAATTGCAAATCCTGATTGTGATCTCTTAACGAAAACACAAGGACTGATTTGATTATTCTTGAACCCTTCTTTCATAAGGTATTCACTTAGACGATTATACCACATCCTTCCAGACTGTTTCAATCCATAAAGTGACCTTTTTAATTTTATGGAAAGTAAATGTCTAGGCTTGTGGTTTTCTGGTAATTTTAGTCCATCTGGGACTTTCATATAAATGTCTGTATCGAGTGACCCATATAAATATGCGGTCACTACATCCATCAATCGCATCTTTATTCCTTCTGATACTGTCAAGCTTACCAGAAATCTTAACGTAGTTGCATCAACTACGGGAGAATATGTCTCCTCATAATCAATCCCTGGAATTTGAGAAAAACCTTGGGCTACAAGTCTTGCCTTGTATCTAACAATTTCATTTTTCTCATTTCGTTTTCTCACAAATACCCACTTGTATCCAACTGGCTTTACACCTTCTGGTGTAAGGGTTATTTTGCCAAACACTTCTCGTTTTTCGAGTGACTTTAACTCTGTCTGCATTGCCTCTTTCCATTTTGGCCAATCATGCTTGCAACGACATTCTTCCACTGTTCTTGGTTCACTATCATTTTCGTCAGATGCCATTTCAATTGCAATGGAATATGCAAATATTTCATTTACGATAACATCATTTCTATTCCAATAATTCCTGGTAGAGACAAAATTTATTGAAGTTTCATTGTTATCGATGTCATGGTCATCTTGTTCATCCCCTTTCGGATTATCATCTTTTTCTTTATTCTCATCTGTATTTTGTCTTTCTTGACCTTCCGTAAGGGGAATGTTGTTGATCTCATCAGGTCTTTTTAGTTTTCTTGGTTTAGAGTCTTTTGAACCAAGTGGTCTTCCACGCTTTCGGCGTGCAAGAGATTCATTTTCAATGATCTTTTCACTAGATGGAATTTCAATTCGTGCAGGGGCATTTTCAGCTGGTATATGTGATTTTGTCACTTTCTTTGAATCTATAAATGCATCAGGCAGCTGATTTGCAATGCTTTGTAAATGAACAATTTTCTGAACTTCTTGTTCACACATATTTGTTCGTGGATCAAACATTGACAATTGTGTTGCATTCCAAATGATTTCTATTTCTTTCTTTCGTGGGTCCACTTTCTCTCCCCCTAAGGCTGGGAATACTGTCTCATTGAAATGATAGTCGACAAATCTAGCCGTAAATAATCACCGGTCATTGGTTCAAGATATTTAATTATGGAGGGTGATTCAAACCCAACATAAATTCCCAGCCTTCTTTGTGGACCCATCTTTGTTCGTTGGGGTGGAGCAATAGGAACATACACCGCATAACCAAAAATTTTTAGATGTGAGACATTAGGTTATCGACCAAAAACTAATTGTAGTGGTGAGAACTTATGATAAGCAGTTGGTCTCAATCTAATTAGAGTTGCCACATGTATTATGGCATGACCCCAAGCAGATGAAGGCAATTTTGATCTCATCAATAATGGCCTTGCAATCAATTGTAGTCTCTTAATTAATGACTCAGCGAGTCCATTTTGTGTATGAACATGAGCTACTGGATGTTCTACAACAATTCCAATCGACATACAATAATCATTAAATGTTTGGGATGTAAATTCCCCAACATTGTCAAGCCTTATTCTTTTTATTGTATGGTCTGGAAATTGTGCTCTTAATTTAATAATTTGAGCAAGAAGTTTTGCAAAAGCAACATTTCTACTGGATAAGAGACTTACATGTGACCATCGAGTTGAAGCATCAATTAATACCATAAAATATCGGAATGGTCCACATGCAGGATTAATTGGTCCACCAATGTCTCCTTGAATCCTCTCTAAAAATGTTGGAGATTCAGTAGCAATTTTGTTCATAGATGGCCTTATTATTAATTTGCCAAGTGAACATGCAGAGCATGTTAATTCATCTGATCGAGGGATTTTAACATTCCTAATGGAATGTCCTACTGAATTTTCTATAATCTTGTGCATCATTCCTGTACTAGGATGACCCAAACGATCATGCCATAAAGTTAGCAGATTCTTATTATCTAACTTCTGGTTAGATATCGAATTTATTTCAACTGGTCGTATATCTATATGATATAACCCTGAAGAATATGCTGGCAATTTCTCATACACTTGTTTCTTGCCATATTTTTCTGCCGTGAGGCATAAATATTCCTTTTGATCCACTATCATTGTTTCTAAATGAAAACCATTTTGACACACATCTTTAAAGCTTATAAGATTTCTTCGAGATTTACTTGAATATAAAGCGTCATTAATGATTAATTTTGTTCCATTTGGGAGTATTATGCAAGCTTTTCCAGAACCTTCTATTAGCTTAGCTGACCCAGAAATGGTATTAACATTTGCTTGAAACAATTTTAACTTTAAAAAATATTTTCTATCCTTCAGAATAGTGTGTGTTGTTCCACTGTCCAAAAGGCATTGAAATTTGAAACCAACTTCGGGCAGATCCATATCTTCATAAAATAATAAGTATAAGATTAGTTTAAGATAATTAAACTGGACTTACTTTATTAATGATGAAAAATTAAAAGTACATAACTTGAACATAAAAAAAAACATATAGAAAAGTACGTAAAGAAAACATAATACATATCATAGTAATTGATGAATTATCTAAACATGATTATTCTCTCCAAAGATAAATTCACCACCAGCTTCACCATTGTCTATGAGGAAACCAGACACATCAAGGCTAGTTCCAGGGACATTTTCTTCATTAACGTAATTTGCTTCGACATGTTTTTCTTTCCCTTTAATGGAAGCCTGGTATAGTTCTACTAGATGTTTGGCTGTACGACAAGTACGTCCCCAATATACAGTCATGCCACATCTATAACATGTGTCTTTCCCTTTTGTGGTGGCTTGATTTTTGTTTCCTTGTTGATGCCCCCTTTGAGTGTTGTTTCTAGGGGGGAAATGACCTCTACCACGACCATGACCACGTCCGCGGAAATTTCCACGACCTCTGCCACGATTATTATGTTTTCCACGTCCACCTCTATGAGCAACATTTGTCTCGGGTGGATTTGAGCTTTCTACAACATTTGTTTCATTGAATGCTTGAGACCCAGTTGGTCTTAGGTTGTGATTCTTCAACAGAAGATCATTATTCTTTTCAGCAACCAATAATGTAGAAATAAGCTCAGAATATTTTGCAAAACCTCTTTCACGGTATTGCTGTTGCAATACAATGTTGTTAGCATGGAATGTAGAGAGTGTTTTCTCTATCATTTGCACTTCAGTGACTGGTTTATCACAATATCTCAATATTGATACAATTTTATATAGTGATGAATTATAATCACTGACAGATTTAAAGTCCTGAAATCTCAGGTTTGTCCACTCAAACTGTGCGGAAGGAAGGAGTACCCTTTTGTGGTGGCCATACCTTCCTTTCAGGCTATCCCATAGTTCTTTGGGATTTTCCACCATTAAATACTCAGTTTTTAAACTGTTATGTAAATGATGCCTTAAGAGAACTATAGCTTTTGCTTTCTCTTGATCAGTAGGAACTTTAACTTGAGCAGGGGCATCTTTTTCGTTTCCTGGGATGGTAATTTCTTTGATTGTATGTTCCAATCCCTGAGCCTTTAAATTCATTTGGGCATCATCTGTCCATTCAAGATAATTATGTCCGGACAAGTCTAATACGTCAAATTGTCTTTTCATCAAGTCTCCCATTTTAACTACAATCAAATAGATAATTATTATTAAGTCAATTAAGTAAGTGATAATTAAAGTAATCAAATTATAATCATAATAATAAGCCATTTTAAAACATATTTTGCTTCTCCCCCTTGGGTTATTATTACGATTTACATAAAGTTAAGCTAAAATAAAATATGATAATTACGTTTGTTAAACAATAACATCAACAACAATAACAATGATAATAATAACAATAACAATAAATACTACTACTATTACTACATCACCGACAATAATAATAATAATAATAATAATAATAATAATAATAATAATAATAATATTAATGACATACATTAATGATAAGACAAAAGGAACATTTATTATAACAAAATGCACTTATAATCTACCTAGAAGACAAAAAAAACTTGAAGTACTACGAAAATTACACGCATTAATTCCCTTTGTCGAAAAACCAAGCGCTACTTATGTAAAATGATGAAAATCATCATTGCCATTAATAAACTACTAGGGCCATAACTAAAACTAAGTATAGTTTTAATTTCCTTAAATCTTCTTCAAAGGTAAAGGGGTGTGGTGGTTGTTGGTTGTCGACGGGGAACATGGTGTGTGGCCGGAGTGAATGGAGGAAGAAGAAGAGGAGATAATTTGGGTAAAGTTTAAGGAGGGGATAAGGTTTGTATGGTGAAATAAGGGGGGTGTAATCCGCTTTTTATAGGGGGGTAAATTATCCGTTTCAGCTTTACACAACTGTAAAAAATATCATACAATGTTCTAGTAGACTGGTGAAAAAAAAATCGTAATCAAACTATTAATATTTACAAACGTAAATAAGTATCACACTGGGATGTAAGCCGTAGTGGTCCGAGAACCCTAATCTATTCATGAGGTCAAGGATTCGAAAACTGAAAGAAACATAAAAAGTGTGTAATCTAAAAATTAAATAAATATAAAGGCTGCATAATTTTTTTTTCATTTTAGTAATTATGCACAAGTAAATAAGTATGAACATGATTTGTGTGACCATGAAATTTACTCTATTAACATGCATACAACAAATATTTCCACATGCAAAAGTAATTATATATTACTTTCTATAACCATGCATGAGAGTTACCAAACTAAATATCATAAATAAGGTACATATTGATATCCTCATTTTTATCAACATGGCTAATTATGTAGAGTAATTTTGTGGAGAAATATATTGTGAGTTTCTGGTATAGAGGATCCCGTATGGGCAGCTATAGAGCATACTCCTCAAAATATATTTTGTGAAAGAAATTGAATCTTTGTAAAAATTAGATAATCGGTATAAGTATACCTGATTGAAGATGGTGCTGATAACGTGTTATGAAATATATAGAAATTAGAGGATTAAGAGAAGAAGGTAATAAGAGAAGTATTACTACTTGTATGTATTACTCTTGGTAATATTTTTGTGTACATCATACAAGTGAAATTGCATGGTTATTTATAGTAGTAAGAATCACTATTACATTGTGGGCTATAACCTTAAAGGGTGGCAATTAGGGTTGGCTACTACATTTAATGCAATGAAAAAATTGGAGTGTGGACATTCAACCTTGACTAAATTAATTAACTCTTAACATTAACAACAATGAACATGACACTATTTTTATAAAGAACACACTATTATATAATACTTCTTTATTATCTTCGTGTTATTTGATTGTCAGTGTAATTTTTTTTTTTAATTTGTGACATAATATTCATTGTTTACTATGAAATGTTGTTTAAATTTTGTCTTTAGATTATGGTGGGTGAATATAAATAATGTTTATTACATAACTAGTTTTGTGCCCGTGCGATGCCCGGGTTGTTTATTAAATTTAAAGATATATTTCAATCTATATGTCAAATTTTAAAACATATCATTGATACAAAATTAGTTAGGAATTGACGTGTTTTTGTGGCGATTTAAACTTGTAGACATGTAATGACAAATAATAATACTATTGATGAAAAATATTTTTTGACCCTGTCTGAAATGACTCGTGACCCGACCTGATTGACAGGTCTACACACAGTAATAAAATTATATTAGATCGTGAAGTATATTATTTTAATTGATTAGAATATATTATAAACCATGGATGTGGTACATTTTGAACTAATTCCTTCGCTCCAAAAATATATTATGATACAAAAAATAAATTTATATGATAATTTATGAGAGTTATAATCTAATTTTTTGAATAAAATTATAATTCAATTTGTACATATGAAATATTGGTACTTTATAAAAAAAATAAAACTCTAAATTAACAATTTTATCCTAAAATTCTATCCAAATTTGATTGAAAATAAAATTCTAAACTACCTTTTTTATCCTACAAATTGAATTCTATATAACTCTATCCTACTTGACACGACACTTGGCGAAAAGTTGGAACGCCAAGTGTCGCTGCCTCGTCGCATTCTATATAACTCTATCCTACTTGACACGACACTTGGCGAAAAGTTGGAACGCCAAGTGTCGTTGTCTCGTCGCATGACTAAAAGTTTAGCTTTATATATTAGTTATATGATATTATCATGTTCTTTATTAATATTATGGATGTTCTTTAGATATACAAAAACATAAAGCAGGGTGTTCTTTGATAAACAACTATATATTCTTTACAAAATAGCTATATGATCTTAACAAAACAACTAGATCTTCATTTTGCCTTTTATCAAAAATTCGGATGTACCATGCTTGGTAAGTCCGCCTCAACAAAGAAAATTTCATAACAATTAATATTTTTCATCACGTAGATCGAGAAAAATGTTACTTCGTAATATGTGGAGAGTGGGCTTTCCACTAACGCTAATTGAAAAAAAAAAAAACCGTAACCCCGTTAATGGCTACATAATGACAATGCCATTGTATAATTACAATTGTACAAGAGGGTTACAATGTGTAACTTCTAAATAAAAAGGGCACAACTTAAAAAATGCGATAGTTAAGGGTCACTATATAGAATTTTCCTTTTATTTTTAAATAAATCAAACTCCATTATCTTACTTTTCGTATACATCTTTGATATCAGTCAAAATCAAATCCCATTAGACCATTTTCTAATTTTATTATATTCATATTCTTAAAAGCATGTACAAAAGACAAACTTTTACTAATATGTATAAAATGACTACAAATCTACAATACTTGTCTTAGTATATTTGCCACTTTTTATTTCCAAGTCACTTGCAACTCAAAAGTTGGAATTAACATTTTAAAAATGAAATATCAAGTGTGAACAGAATCTTAGACACTCATACTATATTCTTCTTTAAGATCACATTAATTGTATGGCACAAGTATTAGCTGTTATATGCTTATATCTGAATGATCAATGATACATAAGATTCCTCAGATTTGCATACACTTAGGAATCAATTCAGATATTTCATATGGCATTATTTGAAATATTCTTATTCAAACATCATTAATATTTTAATTTTCCAAAAACAAAAATACAACGTTATTCTTCTAAGATATAGCCAGTAATTTCTGCTATTTAGCTAAACATGAGATGTATTTTTTTCTTGTGCACAATGTGACAGGCAAACCACCATCAAAGGTGGCCGTAAGGCCGGGGGCGAACCGTGGAACATGACTAGGGAAAGAGTTTGCTAACACAAAATGAAAATCCCTTAGAAGTGATAGTGCAACATATTTGATTTCCATGAGTGCCATTTCTTTGCCTAAACAAACCCTATTTCCGGCTTGAAACACCGGGTACTTGTATGGATTTTGTGGGATGAACACCCTATCTTCGTCGAGCCATCTTTCCGGCTTGAACTCTAAACAATCTTTACCCCATAGTACTTCCATCCTACCCATAGCATAAGGATGGTAGGTAACCCTAGTTCCTTTCATGACTTTAGTATTCATCATGTCTGGTAAAACATCATTGTTTAGAGCAAATTTAGAGTCAAATTGAACGGGAGGGTAAAGCCTCATACTCTCGAAAACAGCCGCTTGTAGGTAGGTTAGTTCACCTATTTGATCATACATGACAATTCCTTGCCCTTGTCCAAGGACTCTATCTGCCTCAGTTAAAATATTGGTTTCAACTTGTGGATGTTTTGCTATTAGCAAAAAAAAGCTTGTTAAGGTCGAGGCCATCGTGTCTCGGCCTGCAAGCAAAAAACTAACAATGATGTCCCTAAGATAACAATCATTATCCTTCACACTTTCCATAAATCTTGAAAGGAGGTCTTTTTCTTGGCTTAAAGAGGTGCCTAGTTTTTTTCGCCTTTGCTTAATGACCTCCTCCATGGCTACAATATCAATAACCTTGACCGCGTCTTTTAGCTTCTTCTCTTTTCCTATTCCTAGGAACCTTTTGAGCTTCCAAGCTATTGAGCACACCTCGAGTGCTCTTTCAGCTGAGAGCTTGGTTGCTAGGTCAAATGAAGTGGAGAAGTCTTTGAAGGGACCAACAAGTTGTTGTAATAATGGTTCAATTTTCACCCCAAAGGAAAACTTAGAGATTGTACCTAGTGAAAATGCCCTGAATATTTCTTGTAAGTCTACTACTTGACCCTCTACTTTGCTATAAAGGTAGGGCATGAGTTGGTTGTCTATCTCTTCCTTCACCGCCTAAAACAATGGCAAAGCTAAGTTAGAAAAATATCCAAGTTTAATTAATCATACTATATACATTTTTAAAAAAGAAAATAAATCATACTAACTACTTGTTTTTTTTAATGGAGGTAACTAAAATTAGGGAAAAACTTATATATAATTTCAATGTTATAACTTATTTGTCAAGATGTATGCATAAATATATATCTAGCATATATAGAATACTAATTAAAGGATAGAATATACGTAAATATCTAGCATATATATATATATATATATAATACTCAAGTAGATGTATGCAATATAGATACTATATGTAAGAAATAAAACTATTAGTAGCTAGGTACACCTTCAAGAGTTATATAGGTCCATCCCTAGCTAACTAACCTGGAAGGAATATGACCGGACCGAGCACCTATCGAGCTCGAGGCTAGCCATCTTCCTTTGGAACCTCCATGCATCGCCATCAACGTTGAAGATTCCATGCCCTAGAAGATCACCCAAGATTGTGGAGAAGGGTTTACCTTTAGGATAGTTGTTAAAATTGGTCTTTAACATGTACTCAACGTTGGAGGGATTCGCGGTGATTATGTTGTCTAGGACATGGATATGGATTGTTTTGGAGGGTGAGTTTTGTAGGAGATTAGCGTACCAATCACATATTTTTGAAAAATTATTAGACCAACTTGAAGTTACATAACTGTAGCATATATCACACTTACAATGGAAATACCTCCTTTTGATAAGTAGTATATATGCTAACAATATAGTTATATTAATAAGCAAGAATAAAATTACAATAATAATGAAATTATAAGATAAGAAGAAGAAGAAGAAGCCATGAATTAAATCATACCAGCTTAAGGAAGGTTCAAATTCCATGAATTAGAAAATGATAAAGAAAAAAATGATTTTATTTTTATTTTTATTTTGGAAGAAATAATTAGGGGAGTTTTGAATAATTAAGGAAATGAAAAGGCAATATAATTAGAGAGGTAAAGACAGAGAAAAAGGAAGAGATGACAGCAATTATATGCTTTTAAACATAAGTAGTGATTGATACAGTATATTATTAATCAATATTTTACATCAATGTGATAGTGTTGTAATACTCATTACAAAATTTTTATTTTGGTTCACTACTTTAATTGATGATGCTGCTTCCACTAACAATAGAAATTGATTGTCTAGCAATATTATATGCTTGATGAGGGGCACGTGCACTATATTACAAGTTATGACATTGTCAACGATTGACAATATAAAAATTCAAAATATATAATAATTTAAAATCTATATAATAGTACAATCTGAATTTTTAATATAAAAAACATGTACGCTATTAGAGATGTCAATTCGGGTATTCAAGTTGGGTTCGGGTTTGAGTTAAGTGATAACACGATATTATACATGATTTATATGTGATATTTGGTCATGTTTTATTGTGTTTTCTTCATTCTCCTAATCTTTTTGAGCTATTATTCTTCCTATTTCGATATTGTTCTTCTCGGTTTGTTTTTTTTTGTTTTTATAGGAATAGGGCTCGATTTGCGTGGAATTTATTTTGATCGTGAAATATTTCTTTATATGGAGCGTTTCTAGCATCAATGGAGCATTTTGGCAACCTACTCCACAGCTTGGTTGTGGCGTGCAATCTGTTGGCCACAACCTGGTTGTGGGCATCTATATTGGAGCAAGGGAGAGGCGAAGACAGCTCGCTCCACAGCCTGGTTGTGGCGGTTTTCTTCGTGTCACAACCCACCTGTGGCAGCTCGTTTTGGTGGCGTTTGAGAGTCCTATTTAAATAAAAATATCTAGTTTTACGCTAGGATATAAATAGGTTTTAGATAGTCTTTTATTTATCACTTTTTCAAATATTATTTTAGAATTTTTGGGTATTACATTCTTCCATATTATTTTCTAGGGTTTTGATTTCAAGATTGAAGATTTCATAATTAATTCCAAGTATTGATTTCTTCTCTCAATTCTCTTATTTTATTATTGTTAATTATGTTTTCTTTATTGATTATCATTCTTGATTTCATGAATATGTGTGAGTAGTTTCTTTATTCCAAGATCTAGCGGAACCCGAATATGATTAATGCTTGATTTAATTCTTTAAATCATCTAAGGTTGTGTTTGGAAACATGATATTCATTTCAAATGTTGGAATTGAATTTCAGAATTTGAAATCTTGATATTCAATTCCATTGTTAGGTGTTTGGGAAACATTAGAATTTCATTTCCAAAATTTGAAATCCTAACTTTTGTTTGGAGATGACTGATATTTGAATTAAGCAAATAAAATTTTCATTAAGAAAAAATTACATTTACTTAATTATTAATTAAATTAAACAAGCAGAAAAAAAAAGAAAATAAATGAACTAAACAAATTATAAACATTTAACTATAAATTGGAGGAACTTATACTCAACAATTAAAAATTTAATCAAAAAAACTGAAAATTAACTGATATTTTCGACCAAAAAACTGTGCAATTAGTCGTATTATCCGGAAATTAAGATGATTCAATGGAGGCCAAGAGAAAGCTCAAAAGCTTCTTTAATGGACGAGTGATAGCTCACAAGTCGGTTCAGTGGAGGAGAAAGAAAGCTCACATGCCGTTTCAATGGAGGGGAGAGAGACCTTACACGCCGCTTAAATGGAGGAGAGAGAAAGATCATACGTCGCTTCAATGGAGGACAAAGAAAAGCTCAGACGCAACCTTAATGGAGAATTGAGAGTACACTTTCACGAAGAAGACAAATTAAAGCTCACTAGTTGCTCTAATGGAGAATTTGAGTACGAAAAAAACATATCAATCTTCAATGGAGTAGAGAGCTCACAAAATGCTTCAATGGAGGAGAGAGAAACCAAGGCGAGGAGAGAGAAAATCAGAAAAGGGGAAATCGGGTCTATCCCTAGGAGAGAGAAAGTCAGTTTTTTAATTTTTTAATTTTTTTTTATAAGAAAGTAAGAATTTGAAATGATAGGCTTTGGGATGGAATTTGAAATTTTGATAAAATGGGTATAATTTTTTAAGGGTTGGATTTCAACCAAATGCAAATTCAAATTTTAACATTACCCAAATTTGTTTTTTGGCCCAAATCCATCATTTCAAATGAAATGCTTGGAACCAAACAGGTCATAATGATAATTGCAAATGATATGCTTAATTGATTGTGCTCATGCCAATACTAGATTAGGGATAATTGATATTGTTATTAATCCATTGTTTTAATCGCAACGAGAGTTGGGTTTTGACGGGTTTGAATAAATCAATTAAGGGTTTGAAGTTCATCACGGGAGTAGTTGAATGGATGATTAGGAAGTTAGGGTAATGTGCTCAAGGTGTTTAATTTACATTATTCCACATAAGTAGGCTTGATTGTGATTAGGAAAGCCATTGATAACTCGGGAGAGACCATTGGTACTATTCAGGGATTACTTTTCCTCTTTAATCAATTGAATTATATGTTAGGGGTAGAACAACTATTGCATTAATTGTATTCGTGGTAATGCTTGATCTTGGATGTCTTTTGTATTTGATTATCATATTAATTAGTTTAATCGTCGTTCTTGATATTTAGTTATTGATTCTCAATTATTTGATTTGGTTACTTTCTTAGTAGTTACTTAAGTCTAATTAATTAGTTGAACCATAGTCTCTTGGGATACGACCCTTGCTTGCCCATCTACATAGTAGTGGTCTAGTTAGGTTTATTTTTGTTAGGAACGCGACACGCCTATCATTAAGTCAGGTCTCAAGTAAAATCAGGTATCTGGTTATGTTGAGTCAACTAGCCTCCAGATCAGGTTTAGGTTCGGGTCGGGTCAATCTTGGTTCAGGTTATTTCGGGTCATTCACCCTTTCGAGTGTAGGTTGGGTTCGATTGAGTCAAATTCAGGTGGAGTTCAATTTCAGGATCAGATTTTGACAAGTCAAGTTTGGGCGGGTTTATAATTGGTAAATTTGGGTTCAGGTTACGATTGGGTTAGATAATTATTGGGTTTAGGGCATGTTCTCATTGACTAAACTGAGCTGAACTGAACTGAACTGAACTGAACTGAAATGAGCTAAACTGAACTGAACTGAACTGAACTGAACTAAAATGAATATTTTATAAGAGAAGGAAATTAGGAGCTGAACTGAACTGAACTGAACTGAGCTGAATTGAACTGAACTGAACTGAATTTCAACGTAAGAGAACAAGCCTTTAATCTTTAAATTGGATTATTCATAATTAGGTTTGCGTTAGGTTCAATTCAAATCAATATCAATGTGGTCAAGTTGAAACTATTTAGTTAAGTCTTCCATAATTTGATCAAGCATTATGAAGATTTTATTAATCATATATAATAAAAAAAAAAACAAGAGGTACATAATCTAAATAAATTGTACCAATATGTTCTAAAGCCAACATATTGGTATATTATCTTAACATATTTTACATGATTTTATCATTTTTTAAGACAAAGTTTTTTTTTTTTTTTTGATGAAAATAAATAAATAAATAAAACCGTTGTCTTAAAAAAAATGATAAAATCGTGTACAATCTGTTAAGACAACGGTTTTATCATTGTAAACAAATTAAACTCAAGATATATTTAGTTTAATTTGTTTTGGGTTATTTGGGTTAAAGCAGATTGCATTGAAATTCAATTTTATGTTAGTCTGGACAAGGGCGGAGTGGGTTAGCAAAGATGAATTGATGAGTCATATAAAGCCCGATTATGGGTTGTTACAGGTCGGTTCAATGATAAATTAATAACAAATTATGTCGGGTTATTATCATTTTTGACTTCTAATTGGGTTGGGTACTAGTTCGGGTTTGGATGGCAGTTAGGTCGAGCTAAATTTGTTGTCGGTTACTCAAGTTCAGGTTCAAGTTATAAATTATCGAATCATATCGGTTGTCGGTTATTTTCATGTCTATGATATTTATTTTATTTTTGAAAAACCCTTAAATACACATATAGTTTAACAAAATATTGGATACACACCATACAATGGGTGTAGTTTAATGAAAAATAAAGTTAGTACATGTAAGGGTGGGAGAGGTTAAAGGAACATGATGGGTGAAATAAATACAATATACATTTTTACAAAGGTGGTCCTATTTCCTTAATGATAGTGTGTCAATTAATTTGAAAAAGCTTAAAAAGGAAGGTGTATCAAATATTCAATTATTGTGAAACAGGGAGAGTAGCATCTAAATGTTATATAGAATAAACTTATAATATTGTATTTCGTCAATAATAATAATAATAATAATAATAATAATAATAATAATAATAATAATAATAATAATAATATTCCTGGATGGGTCTGTGTAGATTTGATAGGATCTTCTCCTTTGACACAGTCAGGGCTATCTGACTTTATTCTTGGACGGGTTGTGGCTGATGCAGCTCATCGTAAGCGGGTTAAGTATGAGGCTCGTTGTCAGGCGATTGGATATGGGTTCATTCCCTTCTCCTTTTCTTCGTTTGGTGAATTAGAGAAGGAGGTTGTTGCGTTGCTTAAGCGAATTCAAAGGTTCTCGACGACGCAAGGCATTGGAGCACCTGCTGCAGCTCATATTTTTACTAGGGTAGGCTTTGCTATAGCTAGAGGAGTGGGGGCCCAGATTGTATCTCGGCTTCCCACTAATTTATTGTAGGTTGTATGACTTTTTTGTTTTTGAGAAGTAATAGTATGACTTTTTTGTTTTTGAGAAGTAATAGTAATAGTAATAGTAATAGTAATAGTAATAGTAATAGTAATAGTAATAGTAATAGTAATAGTAATAGTAATAGTAGTAGTAGTAGTAGTAGTAGTAGTAGTAGTAGTAGTAATAATAATAATAATAATAATAATAATAATAATAATAATAATAATAATAATAATAATAATAATAATAATAATAATAGGATTTGCGATAGCTACAGGGGTAGGGGCCCAGATTGTATCTCGGCTCCCCACCAATTTTTTGTAAATTGATTGACTTTGTAGGTTTTTTGAAAATTTTATAATAATAATAATAATAATAATAATAATAATAGTAATAATAATAATAATAATAATAATAATAATAATAATAATAATAATAGGATTTGTGATAGCTACAGGAGTGGGGGCCCAGATTGTATCTCGGCTTCCCACTAATTTTTTGTAGTGTATGA